TCCAAGTCCTTTTAGATGTGGGTGGGGGAAGAGCACCACTTTTTTGTTGGCGTTTTCTCTTTGATCCTTGTTCAGTCGGGCTGATGAAAATTCTCCCCTGATCTTTTGTTCTCTGTGAAAACCAGGATGTGTCTATATGCTCTAAAAGCCCCCGAGATGTCAAAGCGTCTCAGCTGTGTTGAAATGACACACTTAGAAAAATGTCACAAAATGGAGTTGTCACAGCTTCAGTCTCCATCCCCCATGAGACCTTTTTATCCTTGTTGAAACTTCAGCAGGTGAGCCCCTCCGTGAGCTCCTTGCACCCCATCTTTTCCAGGGATGCATTGTTATCCCCCCTCCCATCCCGGCACCCCTTGTGGAGCCAAGAAGCCTTCGTGTATTCAGATTTGTGCTTCCCGTCGCAGTAACCCTGCTCAGAAAGCCAGCCTGCATTCAAAGTTGTATTTTCCTAATAATGTCAAAATGGAACACAAAGCTGCCTAAAGCATTGTTTTTTTGGGGGAAAGAACCCGAGTATAAATAAATTCCAAAAAATAGGAAACCCATACAAAGAAAAAGATTAAAAACAAAAAAATCAAAGATGGAATCCTTGTGTTTGGCCTGGGGTACAAATGGCAGCTCCTTAGGTGATGCTTTCAAGGGGCCAGACTTCAGTTTTCGAGTCTATTTCTTCCTTCTTATGTCCTTGTAATTCCAGTCAGGACGGGGGTTTTGTTTCTTTCCACCTTATCCCCTCTTTGGGTGGAGAGATGGAAGAACAATGGGTTTTGGAGGTATTCGTGCAGCAAACAGAAAACCAGCATTTGTTAGGCACTTACTGCATGCCAGGGGTTGTTCTGCATGCTCGTCTCATTTCATCTTCATCACCTCTCTTTGAGGTGCATTGGGCCCCATTCCACAGATGGAAACTAAGGCACAGAGCAATTAAGTAGCGTGCGTCAGTGGCCGAGCCGGGATCTGAAACTGGCAGACTGACTCCAGGGTTCTAAGCCCTGTGTCGTGCTACTCCTTGAATCTACTGAAAGACCCACTATGTGCAGGAGCTGAGTTAGCACTAGTGTGGGCAGACTGTCCAGGAAAAAGATTGTTACAGGGCTGTGTGACTCGAGTGGGACAGAGAGGACCCTGGAGATGTGGAGCTTTCTGGAGGGACAGAGAGGACCCAGGAGGGCTTCCTGGAGGAGGTGGCCAGTGAGCTGAGGCTTGAAGGTGGGTAAGTCTGGGCGTGAAGTGCAAGACCAGGTAGAACCAGGCTCAGTCTTGACTCCAAGGCGTCAGGTGCCTTCACCTGTAGCAGATGCTGGCCCAGCCAGGACCTAGTCACTCCCTTACAAAGTGGGTAGGAGATGAGGTGAGGGAGCAGCATGGAAAGTGTCTGGCATATAGTACTTGCTCAGGAAACGTCAGCAGTCCTCTCCCTCGTTCCCACTAACAGGCAGGAACATGGGTTGGACGTTCACTGTGACCTGAGTCTGTAAACTGGTGGCCCCCAGCAGGCAAACAGAATGTGAATTAATTGCTCACTCTGGGAGATTCCACACTAAACTCCAGGTTTCCAACTTTCTTTGAAAATTCCTAAGATCTGGTGACAGTGGGCTGCCTATCCCATGCTGCCACCATGGGCTGAGTGAGGAGTGGCTGTCCCCAAAGGGGCACTTGTCCAATTGCACGCTCTCCCTCGGCTCTGTCTTCTCACCTAGCCTCCTTCCTTCCTCTCTGTCTCTGACCCTCCTGGTGTCCTCCAGCCCCATGTCCACTGTGTGGCCCTCGGCCAGGGAGTGTCCCCACTGGAAGGTGGACTCTGGCCCAGTGAGACTGCGTTGGCATCGGCTCCCTCACGGTTGGCTGTTGGGTTTAGTGTGGACAAAGCATTCATTTCAAAACAATGGCAGACACTTCCAATTAATTCCTGGCCTCGTGACATCGAGCCCCAGCCCCTTTGAACGCCCACATCCATTGTGCACACCAGACGTCCTTCCTGATGGTTCTCTGTGACTCAGGACAGCTGGGATTTCGCATCTTTGAAGTGTTTCCCTTTCTGGCAAATGGACCAGTACTTTAAAAAACCAAAGCATTCCTGGGATTAATAGAAAGCCACTAAACGGGCAGAGTGGGGTCCTCGGGGAGAAACTGTGGTTCCAGAGGAGCCCCGCCTTCCAATCATCGACTGACCCTCAGACGATGATATCCAGATTTAGGCTGAAAGCTCTGCAGCCAAGTGCCCCTGAGGAAACCCAGGCTGTGAAACATAGCAGAGTCCCAAAGAGCCATCTGTGAGCCCTCCTGTGGTTCAGCGTCGACGTGGTCGCCACGTTGGACTCCCAAAATCCCGGCTCCGATCTGTCACCCATATGCTTTGCACAGAGCCCCAAAGTCCCGTTTCTGGATTCTTGGCGTCTTTGAAGGCGACATTCAATTGCTGCCTCCTCCAGGAAGCCTTCCATGGTTCTCCGTGGGATGAGGGATCTCACCTTCCCCTTCATCACTCATTCCTCAGTTTACACCCCTCTTGAAACTACCCCCTTCGCAGAGCTTGTACTCTGCGTGCTGAGTCCTCTCATCTCAGCTTATTCCTCAGCACCCCCTTGGAAGTAGGTGGGGCCACCTCCATGTTACAGATGGGGAAACTGAGGCTTAGGAAGGTGAAGGGACTTGCTCTAAGCCGCACACCAGTGTGCGGCAAAGTGAGATTTGAACCCCGGGCTCTGTGACCACAGATCCGGGCTCATGACTGCTGGCGGCCGGCTCTGCGCTCTGCCGGGGGCTGCCCCCGCCTCCTGCCCCGGGGTCCTCCTTCCCCTCACAACTTGATGCGTAACAAGCCCCTTTGGAAGTCCTGCTGAACCAGAGCCTGGGCGGGTCTGAAAGAGCATTTCTCATTTATTAAGGTCATGAAATCCTGGGCCCTGCTGAGTGTTACATTTGATGTTCAAGGGCGGCGTGGAAATCGCTCTGTTTTCATGTGACCCAATTTCTATGCTCTGAAAATGCCAGTCCCTGTCTTCTTTTCCAATCTCTCTGTTTTTGAGATAAGGCAGCAGGGCCGCTGGGAGCATCCCTTCATCGTCTCCTGCCTGCGCCCCCCCACCAGTCGCTCTGGCACACGTCTCATGTTCAGGTGAATGGATGTCCTGTGTGACACCTCTGGGCTTTCGGGCAGGAGTTATGGGCTCACTCTGATGAATCGCCTGCCTGGCTCACCTGCGCCCTGAAGCTCACCTGTGCGACCCTCCATGTTCTTCGTCGGCTGTGAACATACATCAAACGGGTGACCTTGACCGGAAGGGACCTCCCTGGCCTCTCGGTCCTTCTGGGATGTCGGCCCGGGAAATGGGACCCAGGAGGCCTTCTATATACACCCACTTCACCAGGTCACGTACACACCTCTGTATAAGGCAGGACTGTGAAAAAACTCCCCTTTGCCTCCTTCCCTTGTCTGCCTTTGAAAGCGGTTGGCTGGTTAAATATGCTTCGTAACTCATTAGGTGGTAAAAATAATCGCTGAAGTTTGGTCTCTGGCCTGGGACACCCATGGGGATCTTTGGAATATTTTTAGGGAAGTGGGGCAGAAGGGGTCTCAACAATCTACATGTTCATCTTTTACTCACGAAGGTATTTAACATTTGTCTGCTTCTTGTACAGAGTTAAGCTAAAAATTTGGGGGCTGACAAGCTGGCTGTGCGTGGGGCCTGTTCTGTGGGGTGGGGTTGAGACCGAGCGCTGTCTTCCAGACTGGAATGGAATTGGGAGAGGGTCCGTTTCTTTCTTTCTTTCTTTCTTTCTTTTTAATTGTGGTAAAATATACATCACCTAAAATTTACCATTTTAAGTATATGGTTCAGTAGCATTAAGTACATTCACACCATTGTGCAGCCATCACGTGTCACTCCAGGTGCTTGGAATTGGAGGTATTACAGGTTTGAGGGGACTGTGGTATTGAAAGAGGAAATAGGGTTTCACTTCTAAGAACATTCGTCAAAGAGGAGAAGGCCTGGCACTTGCCGCTGGCGATCCGTGATTGCAGAGGGCTGGCTCTGTGGTGTGTGACTGGGGGCCGTCGCCCAGTGGTTCTCAACCAGAGCTGTACACCGTGGCAGACACCCAGGCCCACCCTGCTCCCATCGAATCCGAGCTCGGGGTGGAGCCTGGATTCTGACAAGCAGCTGGGTGGGGAAGTCACAGTCGCCGCAAGTACAGCGCGATGTTCAAGGTGAGGGTGTTAGTCCCTGGTGGTGCTCCCGGTGTGTGTGACTCCAGGTGCTTTCCTGGAGGGTCTCCGTAGTGCGGGGAGCCAGGGGCCCTTTCTGCCGCCATGGGACCCATGCTGTGCCTCCAGCTGCCTCTGGACCCTGCGACTTTTCGGTATTCCCTCCACCCCAACACACGCACAACTGGTGCTCTCTACACAGGAGGCTGTGGTGTTGCCAACTCAAAGCCTCTAGATCTGGTTTGCTAGAATCCGTTGCATGTTCTAGTGCTCCTGACCCCAGGGATCACCTGTCTTCGAACCATCAAGATTCTGTCCCCATGAGCGAGGCCGTCCACAATGGCACCGCTTTCAATTTTGGACTTGCCTGCGTGTGTGTTGGGAGGGGTCTTCACAGCCATGGTCCAAGCGTGGCACACGGCTCTCCAAGGAAGGGAGGGGAGTCCCGCCTTTTCAGGCCTTGTCGCTTTGTCCGTCTCAGCAGCCTCGGGCAGTTCTGGAAGCATCGGAAGCTTCCGTGTCTCAGTCACGTATTCCAAACAACAGTGAAAACAGACTGGCAGGACTTGGCCGGGATGGGAAATTCGGGCGAGGGGGAAGGATTGCAGAACTTGTTCTCAGTTCGGATCATTTTTCCTCAGACTTTTTCTGGGCGACAGGCCATTTAGGAATGTTTGCTAAATGCTTAAAAAACAGGAGTTGATGTCTCTTTGTTTCCACTGCCAACATGTGAGGCCACGCTGTTCCATTTACACTAACCATTTTTTCCCTTTTTCTTTCTGCTCGACAGTGACTGACCTACAGGAAGAAGGCAAAAATGCCATCAACTCACCCATGTCCCCTGCCTCGGCGAACCTGCACCCTGAAGACACCCTGCTAGGTACCGTGGGCTCCGCCAACTCCCTCTCATGAGATAGCTGAGCCTCTGTGGTGTGCAGCTGGTCTTGGGAGGCGAAAGAGGAACGTGATAGTTACGGCTTTTTACTCAGGCATCACGCTGGGCGGTATTTGAGAGTCTGGGCTCTTAGCTCAAGGTTATGTTTAGAAAAATGTCCAGGGAAAAGCAAGTGGGTTTCTTCCTCTCTGAGTTACACTGTGAGTTTTATTATTGTTTAGATCTGATGAGGCCAATAGATCAGGAGACCACTCATAGGAAAGACAGTTTGTAATGCAGTGCCCAAGGCGGGGGACCCACCGTGCCAGGCAGGGCCACCCAGGGAAGCACCAGGGTCAGGCGGGAGGCAGAAGAGTGAGGGGAGGCCTGGGCAAAAAAAAAAAGCCTTTCTCATGAGTTTCATGGGAAAGAACGGGTGAGGCAGAATATGCAGCCTTAGGATTGGCTGATTTGAATAATTACAATGGCTCTGGGTGTAGGAGCTGTCCTGAGTTATCTGTCTCTGGCCTGGGGTGATTAGGGCAGGGGATATCAGCTCAGACTGTCTGGACCCAGTAATAGAGGTGGCTGGTCCTCACGGGGGAGTTGTTAGCTGTCTTGGGAATCAGCTAGCCTTGGGAGGGGCGGTCTCTCTAGGCCCACAAGACCCCAGGATGTCAAAGCATCAGAAAATATTGAAATAAGAAACAGTATTCCTCCACACCCCCATCTCTGTGTGAGCCAGAGCTGCCTCAAGGCCTGGGACTTGCTAGGTGAGAGCTGCCAAGTGTCAAAGGCCCTACACCCACCTCCCTGGGGCCACGTCAGAGCCTGGCACTAATGAGGTGACAGCCTGGACACATTTTCCTTCAAGCATGTTTTGGGAGCTGAGGAGTTTGGAAGGCAGTCGTGCAGCATTCCGTGTATTTCCAAACCCTGGTTCAAAGGGAAGTCCCGGTCGATCCCTCTGTTGTGGTTTCCACGGCACGGCCAGGCCAGCGAACGCTTGTGGAGAAGACGTGCAGATGCACGTCCAGCCCCGCCGACCTGAAGCCAAGGGCTGGCCGAGCTCCCTGCCGTCCCGCGGGGTCCACTGCGGTTTCTGCCTCTTTTCTTGGAAGACCATGACTCCTGCTTGTTACCCGTTGGCTGAAGCTGCTGTCCAGGAGGACAGTCCTGGGTGACTCTGTCCAAAGGGAAGTTGGGGACCAGCTCGTGGGTCTGGAACTCAGGCTGACTTAGAGCAGGGCTTCTCTGCCTCGGAACCATGGGCGGCAGGCGCTGGACAAGTCCTGATTGTGGGGGGCCATCCCATGCCTTGTGGGGTGTTGATCAGCATCCCTGGCCTCTCCCCATGAGATGCCAGTATCATCCCCCTACGAGTTGGGACAACCAAAAATGTCTCCAGACATTGCTACGTGTCCTTTGGGGTGGGGTGGGGGACGCAGTCACTACTGGTTGAGAACCCTGCCTTAGGCCAACAGGGCTGGAAAATAGATTCATCTTACACGTGTGGCAGGCTATTGTTTTATCAATAATGTCTTGAGCCTGCCTTTCCCTGGGCCCTAACCCTCCTCTAAATAGCTGCTCTTGGGCCTGGCCGTTGCCATTGTCTGGTTTGTTTTGTAAGGTTCCATGGCCCCTGAAGCTCGTGTGACCTGGTCAGCACCTGGCGCTGAGCTCTGAAGGGTGAAGGGATGTGGGGTGGGGACGGGATGTCAGACAGGGGGCACGTCTGCCAGGGCCTGTGGCAGGCAGTGTGAGCCTTGCTGCGGAGTGAGGGGAGGCTGCAGAGGGCCTCAGAGGCCACACGGAGGATGCTGGCCTGCGTCCCAGGAGAAGTGGGGGGCCGAGGAGGGCCTTGGCGCAGGGACAACACCGGGGACCCTCATGTGGTCCCCTGTGTGCTACCTGAAGCATCCCTCTCAAGCATCAGGTCTGCATGACTCCAAAAACAGTGTTTCCACTTTGTCAGGTTTTAGAATTAGATGCAGTGAAGCCACTGTCACGCGAAGCCGTTTCATTCCCACCCACACCGACAGGGTCACCAGCTGCGCGGGAGCCTGTCTGGGCCTGAGACCCTGGTTTCTGCAGCTCCCCGGTCATCTCCACCTGTACTTCCCATGAGTCCTGGCTCCCGCCTGCAAGCCCCCATGCGCTTCTTTTATTTCCTTTTCATTTGCCTGGTCAGTTTTGTTCTGCGTCATGCCTGGCCTCGGTGGGACTTGCCTCTCTGCAGTCCCATGCCTCATTATCAGTGTGTCACTTCTGCACAAGCTCGCTGGTCCCCCACTGTCCATGGAGCAAGGCCAGGACATAGAGGGAAAAACAAACGGGTAAATAAACAGAAACAGAATATAGATGAATACATTTTGCTGTGAAACATTGTCCTTTTTCTCCCCTCCCTTTTTTTTTTTTGCTTTTTCTTTCTAGTATTTTTGGTCCGCACTATTTTACGTAGTGGTGAGTTTTCTCAGTGAATGACAGCTCTTCCCCGTGTTTACTATTGGGTTGTCGGAAAAGTCATGATGCATTTTTGCAATGAAAAACATAGAAAAAATCCGTCATGACTTTTCCGACAGCCCCAATAGTAGCGGCTGCGGGCAGCTTCTCCACGGGCCCCGGTCAGGCCTGTGTGCGTGGCCGCCTCTCCCAGAGTCTATCTGAAAGGTGGGAGTTGGTGAGGGACGGAGCTGACAGAACGACTGAGGATGACTTCAAGAAGAGGCGAAGGCACGAGGCTGCCCCATCTGCCTTCTGGGAGGCAGTTCCCGCAGTTGGCCACCCGCCCTGGGCTGTTTGACTTGATGCACTGCCGATGCAGGGCCGTTCGGCTCATCCTTACTGAGGAAAGGGCGGGGTTCTCTGCTCTCAGTCCCTCTTCCCTCTTGGTGTGAGGGAAGCCGGCTGGCCCTGGCATGTCTGCCGCTTCCGCTGGCGCTGACCCTGAGCCTTCTGTCCCCGGCAGAGGAGAACGAGGAACGCAGGATGATCGACCCCACCTCCAAGGATGACCCCAAATTCAAGGAGCTGGTCAAGGTAAGGAGGGGGGTCCTGGTTGGAATGCTCCTGTTAGGGCAAAGCTTTTGGGGTTCCAGCTCTTGTGGGCAAAAGGAACAACCCCTGCGGGCTGGCGAAAGGGGCCTTAATGCTGTGTTAGGTGGAGGGATGTGAAGGGTGAGGAGGCTGACCGGAGCCATGGAAGGGATGAAGGTCAGAGCGTGGAGCGCCACCCACGTGCCCGCCCCGCCGGGGCCTTCGACACCGCTGGCTTATGCGCTGCCCTGGGCAGAAGGGGCAGCTGGCGTGAACTGTCACAGAACCTTGCAAATTGGGTTCAGACTCCTGGAGCATGATGGGGGCTTCAGAGGTGGCTCTGAACAGTGTGTGAGCCCTCTGGCCACTCCTGGGGACAGAGCCGTCTGATGCTGGCACCCCTGCTCTCTGGGAGGACGGTCAGTTTCTGTAGCGTCTGGAAGTGCGGATACCAGGCAGACAAGAAGACAGGCTCCCAGAAATGAAGGAGGCAAGAACGGGAGGGCTGGCGACGCTGTGGCTTCTTCGTGGCAGCAGTGGCAGCTTTTTGTTCCCAGAGAGTTTTCTTAGCTCCAGCTCAGCCGTGAGCCTGTATTTGTAGCAGTTGTCGTGTCCAAGCGTGGATGGCAGGTTTGCGTGCTCTGATCTGAACCACAGTAGGGCTTCAGGAGGTAATCCCAACAAGCAGAGGCCCTGGGCTCTGACAGCGGCTGCTCCCGGCTGGACAAGCGCCAGCTCCAGAGCAGGCGGCTGTGAAAATTGCTTCGCTTCCGCAGCCCACAGCCAACTCAGGTGACCTGGAGGCTTTGTTTGTGGCAGTGCATGTCACAGGCGTATTCTACTAAAAGTGCTTCTGTGAAAGTTTCTCCGCCTTAACCGCCGCTGTGGGACCTGACGTGGTGCAGCATTGTCTTTTCATGGGGCTAATTCAGGATAAAAAAGACCTCTGCAAGGTGCATCCTTTTTAAAAACTGAAATGGAAAATGTCAGCTTTAGGGCCTACCCAAAAATGTCAATTGCTAGTTTGTTTTATTAAGATTTTTTCCCCCTGAATACCAGTTTATGATTCTGAACGGAAGGATGTCGGTGAGGAAAGTGGCCCTGTCTTTAGCTACCAGAATGTCATGCACGGGGGAGATTCTAAGCCGTAGGAAGGGCACGCACCGTATTCGTCAGGTTCACCAGAGAAACAGAACCTGTAGGATATGGGTCTCTCTGTCTGTCTGTCCGCCTGTGTATAGATTGAGGTTTATCAGAAGGAAAGGGCTCACACGATTACGGAGGCTGAGAAGTCCCACGGTCTGCCCTGTGCAAGCTGGAGCCCCAGGGGAGCTGGTGGAGCCAGAAAGCTGAGGACAAGAGATCGGCATCCCAGCTCACGCACTCAGGCCGCCAGTGGATTGCACGATGTCCCCAGGCTGAGCCATGGCTTAGCTGATTCTCTAGGGACTCCCAGAGCGCTGGACACTGTTACACTCACAGTTACGGTTTCTTACCATGAAAAGATGCAGTAAAACCAGCCAAGGGGGAGGCCTGTGGGGCAGGGTCTAGGAGGGCCCCGAAAGTGGTGCTTCCAGCTGTCCTCTCCCCGGCACTGCAGACAGCGTCACTTACTGGCAATGATGTCACAATATTTAAGGAACATTACCATCCAGGGAAGCTCCTAGCCTTGTGGTCCGGAGTGTTTATCTCGTAGGCATGGCTGACTGCCCTCAAGGCTACCCTGGCTCCAGCCTCCAGCTGTGACAAGTGTGACCCAAAGCCCCCACCCTAAGGCGTGCTGGTCCTCTCTGTCCTGCTCTCTGGGTAAAGGTGAGATGATGCCCCGCGGGCTCAGCCTTCGCACTTGCCTGGAGTGCACGTCTCCATGTCAGTTTTTTCTGGGTGTTTCCTCAGCAGCACGTTCTCCAGCCCCTCCCTCTGCCCATGCCTCCCGCCCCCCTCCCCGCCCCGGCTGCTTTCTTCCTGAACTTCCCGCTGCCTGCAGCCATTACATGTTTACTCGTTGGTTTGGGGCTTCTTCCTTCTTCTGGGGTGTAATCGCCGTGCTGTCAGGGCTGTCAGCGTTTTGCCGCCAGCTGAACCCCCAGTGCCTGCAGGTCTGTCTGCACCCTGGGCTGATTCGTATGTGCTGGATGCGTGGGGCGTGGTGCGTGAATGACGGAGCTGGGTGGGCAGTGCCGACGCGAGATGGCACCCCAGAACCACCCATGGGGCATGTGGCTTAAAGACAAGGCAGGTCTTTTTGATCTACCCTAGACCTACAGGACCTGAATCTTGGGGAAGGGGTCTCTGGGAGGAGATTGGGCCAGGGCTGGGGGGACCAATTCAGGTGGCCCAGGAGCACTCTTGGGAGCCAGCCAGCCTTGTGGTCCAGACAAAACACCTCCCTCCACATCACCGGCATGATTCTTACTGCTTTTCAGAATATCCGTCCTGTCCTGTGGACTGTAATTACCCAAGCTGCAGGTTGATTAAATCTGAGTAGGCCTCATCAAGGCCTCCCGGTGGTTCTTTGTAGGGATTCGGCTCAGAAACAGTTGTTTATGGTGCCGAGCATGGTCCGTGTGCAGACCTGAGCAGGTCATGATGAGGTCTGGCTGACATCTGGGTCTTGGGGCCAGCGGGATGTTTCTGAGAAAGCATATTAGTCCCCTTGTTTTCCTTCTCTGTTCTCTGTCATCTGCACTTTTGTTTTTTATCTCTTGCGTTGGCCCCTGTCCAGTCTCCCTCTGTAGACTTACCCCTGCTGACCCTGCTGCCTCAGGACTGTGTAAAATGCTGTCAGCTGCCCTCTGCCTCCTGTAGAAATAACCCCTGACTCCGGTATTCAGTCAAAAGCTCGCTTTGAGCATCTATTGTAAAGAAGGTAGGTTAAGGGTGAAGGGCGCAGCGGGTTCCGGAGTCTGATTTTCTGGATTCACATTCCGGCTCAGAACAGCAGTGCTTCCCTCCCAGTGTAGTTGTGAGGATGACGTGACACACGAGTCCACGTTATCACTGTCTGACAGGCACTGTGCCAGGTGAGCATGGGCGGGCAGGTGCATGGGCAGCTGTGTAGTAGAGATTTAGAAGCGACACAATTAGCCTGAAAGACTTACCCGAAGTCTCCTTGGCTGGTGTTTCGTCCTGTAGTCATTTTCTGTAGCATACTCCGGGGGCCTCCTGAATTACTTATAGGTGAACAGCTTGTGCTGCCCGGGCAGAGAGCGCTTTACAGGTGAGACACTTTATATGTTTAATGATCTTCGAAAGAGGGAGAGGCAATTCTCGTGCTTTCCGGGATGAATAGCCAGAGGAAGGCTCCACCTTTGAGAGCGAGTTGATCTAAAGCAGGCTGACCGCATCTCACTGGGACCCACATTGCTCTCCATGAGCAGATTTCACATCTCATTTCCCAGTTTATTGAATGAGACTCTTCCTGGTTCTTAAGTTCTGTTTTCTTCCTCCCTTTGTCCATATGAAGAAAATCAGCTGCATAAAAACGCGCCTCTGGGGAAAGACGGTGCTATTAGGGCCGCGGGGAGACGCCCCATAATGCGTTCTGGGCTCTAGCCTGTTGCCGTAAGCCCGCGTCCTCCGTGGATTCAGCAGTGACGAGCCAGTTTGGAAGGGATTAAAACATAACTGTCGTAGTTTGGGGAGAGACAGGCTGCAGAGCCTAATTATCATTCAGATGGAACTAAAGGAAAAGTAATTTTTTATCCTGGTTCAAGCAAGCTAGTAAAACGCATTTGCAAAGAATGCAGTGCCAAGGGTGTCGTTAAGATATGTCCTAGATGTTTGCCTGCAGGAGTCGGGGTTTGCAAATGAGGACGTCCCTAAAAATCATGACTGAGGCTATAAGTAAAAAGGCTTGTGAAACACAGCATGAAGTTGGGGGGTGGGGTGGGGTGGGGGGTAGTGGGGGGACCTGGGAAGTAGCGGGTGGTATGGGTGGGGGGGAGAGACTGTGCCTCCGTGGGGACAGCAGTGTGACTGGCAGTGGATTATGTTTGCTCCCCAGAGCTGACCCCCTGGCCTGTGGCGTGGAGTTTGATTTTGATCCCTTTCTGTCTGTGGTTTTATAGCTGGGCTTTGACCAGGTCAGAGATCCAGATGGAATTTTAGAAGTTTTCGTTTCTTCACAGCAGAAACATTGTCCAGTTTTCCAACAGGATTTGGCCCTGGGCAAGGCAGCCTCTGGAACGGAATGTCTGCGTGCCCCAGAGACTTTTCTAGGTCTGTAGGCAGTTCTGCAGTTTGTTTGAGCACCTTCCATGGGTCTGTCCCAAGTTTAGCCACTGGGGTTATGGCATTGAGCACAGCAGTTGTTGATGTTGACCTTGATCACGTGGCTGAGGCGTCTGTGTCAGGCTTCTCTGTACCCTGCCTTGTTTTCGATCACAGCTTGAAAGGGTATGTCCTTGTTTGTCTTTTAATATCAGATTAGAATGCAAGGGCCTCAAGGACAGAGGCCCCGTCTGTCTTACTTATTCTCAGAGCCTCCCACATAGTAGTGCTCAGTAATTAGGTAGTTAACTCAATACCTGGTTATCGAGCCCCAGTGCCAGGAAGTGAGTGGTGGGTGCTGGGGACAGAGCCACAAGCAGGACTGTCCTAGTGCCTGCTCTCAGAGAGCTTAAAGCCCAGTAGGGGAGAACATTACAAGGCGGTATGCAGATGTGAATGGGGTCAGGAAAAAGGCACTTGGGTGTGCTAGAGCCATGGTGGGGGCTTGTGGCCTTGGGGGTGGGGGTGGGGCGGTTAGAGAATGACACAGAAGCTTGAGACCCGAGGGATGAGTGAGAGCTGGACAGGCAGTGGGGACGGGCTGTGTTCAGGATGGAAGGAATAGCCTGTGCAAAGGCCCTGAGGCACAGACAAGCGTGGGGTATTTGAAGAGCGCCAGCGAGGAGGCAGGGTGCTCAGTCAGGGCTGTGGCATTGATCCAGGGAGGTGGTTTGAACAGGGTGGTGGGAGAGGAGGTGGTGAGAAGTGGAGCCAGCTAAGTAGGCAGAAGCGGGGTGAGGGTGAAGTGCAGGCTCCTGAAACTGGGGGGGTGGGGGGTGGCGGCGTCCTGTTTCCCTCTCGGTAAAGGAGCAGGGTTGGGGTGGTGAGTCCAGTTAGAGGCTCTTGGAACACCTGAGCAGGGAGGTACAGAGGCGGGTCTGTAAGTGTAGGGGTTTCTGGGATAGGGACAGCGTTGGAAGTCGTAGGAGGGGTGAGCTGGCCCCGGAAGAGAGTGGAGAGTGAGAAGAGGAGCCATCTAGGGCAAGGTCTCAGGAATATGCCTTTTAAAGATCAGAAGGAGAAGGAGGTGACAAGGAGGACCCCCAAGGAAACTGGAAGGGTGGTTAGAGAGGAGGGCGGGAGCTGGGAGGGGAGGCCACTTGGCTGGGAGCTGATGACGCCCCGTCACTGGCCCGTGCTCTCTCCCCACGCTGCCTGACCCTCAGGTGGGGACACGGAGGAGGGCTGGGGCAGGGCAGCTGGCTCCAGCCTGCCTGCCGTTAGGGATAGCTTTGTCAAAGCCAGAATACCACAGGGCTGTCCCTCTTTCTTCTTCCAAACCTCCCTTTACTTTATTTCCACTTCTGTTTTTCATGGGATTGTGTATCTGATTTAATATTTTTGAGTTATTGGGGAAATAGAATGTACTTCACAGACATGTGCTCCCTGGCCAATTTCGCGGCTTGCATGTTTCCAAGAGTGACAGAGAACACTCCAGTCCGGATTCGCGCCCTTCTGTTCATCTGGGAGAGGGGCAATACCCTCCCATTTCCAGGAGGCTATCGGGACCGTTTCGATAGCTTCGTTAGTTTTGCTTGCACAGGAAAATCGTGGACTACAGATGTTTTTGATGAAGCGTGTTCAGGTGTCCAGTTTGTGGAGAAGAAACGCCTTAAGCTACATCGGCCACACGCGGTTCTGTTCAGCGGGAGCCCTCGCTCTTCAGAGGGTTCACCCACTGAAACGATCTTCTTTTGTAATATGTCACCGGTGAATTGAATGGAAAAAGTTGCTGAGAAAGGCTTAAGGGGAAGGCTGGCCTAGAGAAGTGAACACGTGTCCACGTAAACGTGTGTACAGCTACGTTTCTAGCAGCATTGTCCACAAATAGCCCCAAAGTGGTGACAACCAAAATGTCCGTCAACTGTTGGGTGGGTCAGTTGAACGTGTATATTCCATTCATAAAAAATGTCCAGTTTAGGCAAATCTGTAGGCAGAGAAAATAGTGTGGTGGTTGGAAGGAACTGGGGGCCGCGGGGGTGAGGAGTGACTATTAAATAGACACAGGGTTTCTTTTGGGGGCAATGAACATGTTCTTTAGTTGACTATGGTGGGTGATGCTTGCACAATTTTGTGAGTATACTAAACTCCACTGAAACTGTACACTTTACACGCATGAATCATGTGGTGTGTGAATTCTATCCCAGTAAAGCTGTTAAAAAGACTAGGACCTCTGAGCTTGTCAATATGGGTCATATGGGATCCCCTTTTCTCTCTAGCTTTTAGGCTCAAGGTGACCCGGGACTGTTTTGGTGCAGATCTTACCGGAGGGGAGGGGACAGACATTTTCTGACCGCCTGTACTGCCTCGGGCGATAGAGGCAGTGCTACTGACATTTACTCATTTAATCCCCCCACCCCCTCCAAGCCATGGTACATAGGTATTGTCACTTCCTCTGGCTGAGAGTTCCCGACAGGACAAGGGCCAGCCTATGAGGTGGCTGCCCTCCACTGGGTTCTCGGGAATTCCCACCGGAAGCCCTGGCACCCCGGGGTTGGGTGAGCCCCCCGCTGCCCCACCCTGGAGGCCCGGCGAAGCTCGCCCTGCCCATCCTGACTTGCCTGGCCCCCCATGCGCGGTGTCTTGATGTCCATCAGCTGTCGGTTCCTGCCCGGGCTCTGGTCGTGCCGGGTCCACGTGGCACTGGTGAGTGAGGCCGTTCACACCTGCCTTTCCTGCAGGTTCTCATCGACTGGATCAACGACGTCCTGGTGGAAGAAAGGATCATCGTGAAACAGCTGGAGGAGGACCTTTACGACGGCCAGGTGCTGCAGAAGCTCTTGGGTGAGTCAGCAGGAAGGATGGCTACCCCTCACCCCTGCACCCCTGCGAAGGGCCACAGCGCACGGCAGCCCTGGGGCTGGACCGCACAACTCTCTACGTGGTGACAATGGTCGTATGTCCTGACAGTAGACTCGAAGCTACAGCCCTGAGCCCACAGCTCCCAGGTGGTGTCCCCCGGGTCCTGGGCTTCAGGCTTCAGGTCACCTGTCCTCATCGTTTCTCCGGTGGGCATTCTACCAGTTCCCAGCCACAGGGCTGCAGCAGGTCACGCACAGCTTCCAGAAACATCTGCAGCTTCTGTGCTGTTGGGTACATACACCTGAGGGGACCATGCCGATGGGGGCCAAAGGGGCGTTGTTTCCTCTGGGTCAGTGCCCCCTGCTGGCCTGAGCCCCGTCCCACGTCCACTGTGAGCTGGGAGCACCTTCAGGCCTGGGCAGCTCCTTCAGAATGGGAGGTGCTGGAGCGGGAGGGTCCCCAGTGGACATTTGTGGGTGGGCTGTGCACGTGAGGGGTGTGATGGGCATGGGGTGGGGAGGAGAGGGAGGGGTGCCGGCTGCCTGCAGACAGTTCCTTTCATGTCTGTGGACTGGGGGCGTCAGGGCCCCGCCAGAACTAATACTTGTGGTGCACTCAGTGTGGTGCTGGCACGCGCACGGTCTGGAGTCAGTAAGTGGCAGCTGACAAAAAAGACTAGGAAATGAAAAGAAAGGGCAGGGTTGTTAGTCCCCGAGTCCCTCTGGGTGATGGCGCATGATCACTGTGCACTTTGCTCCAAGGACGTGGGCTCCTTTTGCAGGAAACGGAATGAGTATTTGTTTGTCTGGGTCCATGGTGCCTCGGCTCCCTACAAAGACTCAGGAAGGGACAAGCTGTGTGCCGACCAGCCTCCCATCCCCACGAAGCTCTGATGTACTTTCAGGGTCCCAAGTCCTCTGTGAGGATGGCCCCGAGGATTCGGTGTCCCCCTTGTATGTGGGATAACACACTTCCCAAAGGTCAACAGAAGACTCCCCGCCCCCTGAGCATTAGGTGGGGCTGGCAGACTGGGGTGGGACCATGTTTCCTCCACAGTTATAACAGAGGTGACTGCCGTGGGTTAGGGGGCAGGTGAGCTGAGTACAGGCTGCTTCAGGGACATGTTTGGGGGAGCACTGAGTCAGAGACCTGAGGTTTTGGGGGCTCTGTTCAGAAGAGAGATACTGAGGGAAAGCAGACAGGAGGGGGCTGGGGTGGGTGGCAGAGGAGCACTGCCTGGGGAGGGAGGCCCTGGACCTGCGGCTTCATAGATTGTGGTCCTGCTGCCTGGGCTCCACATCTGTGTCCCTCCTTGGACCTGGGTCCCTCCCGGCAGGGTTTGCACACTCAGCCCATGGCCCTTACAGACCAGCTGATCTTGGTGGGAAACCTGCTGGGGTCATGGGGAGGGGAAACCGGGCCACATAACTCACTCTGAAGGGCGTGGTGATTGGTGGCTCATACACTGTTTTGTCCTTAGTCAATCCCTCTTTGGAGGGATAAAAAAATTTGTGTTTGTTTTGGTTGTTTCTTTGTTTGTTGAATGAAGATTCATCGGCCCGCTGTGTGGATCCAGGCTCTGGAGACGCAGGGGTAACAAGAGAAAGGAGGTCCCCTCAGCCATCCCACACAGATTCTGGCAGAGGGAAGAAGTATGGGGTGGTTCAGTCTTAAACACAAATAGATGCGTGAAGAGAGTGACAAGCACTGGGAGGAAACTCAGAGGGTTGTGGGGTCGGGAGTGGCTGGGCTGGCGAGGGGGCGGGGCAGCTCCCCTGGGGAGGTGACCTCTGCGCAGACATCTGCACAGTTAGAGTCGGAAGAACATTCTGAGACTCTGAAGTGAGGAAGTCTGTAGTGTTTAAAGAGCGGTGAACAGAGGCTGCAGGAGGTGTGGGTGGAGAGAGAGAGAGGGAGAAGGGGAGGGGAGGGGAGGGGAGGGGAAGGAGGCTGGGAAGATGGATGGGGCCAGATCACATCCAGCGCTGGTAGACAAAGGCTTTTATTCCAAGTGACAGGAAGCCACTAGAGGTTTTGAGCAGGGCTGTGACACGATCTGAGCTAGAGTTTTAAAGGCCACTTGGGCTTCTGGTGCAGTGTGGAGGGGGCGGAGGGTCAGGATCCTGGAGATCAGTCAGGACGCTGTCACAGCAGCCCAGGCATGAGATGAAGCATCTCGGGCTAGGAAGCATGCGCTTAGTGAGATCTTTGGAGGTTAAAGCTGCCAGAGGCATCGAGGCTGATGGCCAGGTCTGTGGCCTGGGCAACCGGTGAATGAGGAAGCCCTTGAGGGTAGCATGGGGGCTGGACAATGAGGGGTTGAAATGCCTGTTCTACCTGAGTCGGCGTCGGCAGAGCAGAGATGATGTTTAACGCCGTGGGACCAGATGGCCTCACCGGGAGAGGGTGTTCCAAATTCGTTATTTGACTAAATGCAGAATGGCCAAGAATTAACATCTCTATTTGTCTGAGCCAGGAATCCACATTTTAGAATGAGCTTCCATGGCACAGGAATAAATCTGAAATGTTATCAAGATTGTTTAGTAATTATCACAACTTGATTATTAAAAATGTTGGTCAGAGTTTGGTTTTATGCTGTAGTGTTGGTCTGGTCATTCTTGGCACGGTCAGGTTCTAGATTGCTTTCGAGGGCATTAAACTGGACATTTATGATGATAAGACACTTTCAACAGAGAAGGATAGAGGAGCGTGGATCTTGGGCTGACCTGGTGGTGAAGCTGTGCTGGGTTATTAGCTTTCCTCGCTCTCCTGGTGAAGACTTAGCTGCTCTTCGACTCTTGGTCTTGAAGAGTTTGCTGTTGGTGACGATATTCTTTTACTGAAACAGTCCCTTTTACTGGTGCTTTGCTCACTGCCTAAAGGAGATATTTTCTAATATATTCAGAAGCAAACTTAAGGGTGTTGCACTCACATTGTTTTCTCTCCAATTCTTTTGCATGCATCTGTGACTTCACTGAGTCAGTTAAAAAATTGTGTCCCCAAGCCTGAGACCAGCAGTGTGGCCGTGGAATTCTGTAACTGGCTCCCAGGCAATGAATTTACACCTGCCTTTCACTCTTGGTTGCTTGTAAATGAGCCCAGTGCTCTTCCTGGAATAGAGCGACAGAACATCGTTAGAGCAGGTGTCACGTAAGAAGTCCTTGCCCACTCAAGTCACATCCTTTTGGTCCCCTCTTCAGTTGGCCCCAGCAAATGCAGCACTTGCCCTGAAGCTGCTGTGGTTGCCAGTGAGTCCTGCTGAATCAGTTTTGTTATCTGTAAAGTAGAACACGATGCTGACTTCGGCTCAGGCAGCCTTTTTATTGTGGAGTCGCTGCAGTGCCCTCCTGTTTGAGTATCTTGCATAAGTACTTATTAAGGCAATTCCAAAATGTTTTGTGTGTCAAGTGGTTTGACATACCACGTTGACTGAAGGAAAGAACAGTGGGGGAGACTATTCAGATATTAACAGAACATCAGAATGTCTTGCCTGGTCTTATTAACGATGTGACACTGATGAGCTGGAGTGGGAGCCTACGTGATCACATGGTCCTCGAGCCCAGGGATGCCAGGAATGGCACAACGTAGGCATTCGAATCTCCAGTTTTCCAGAGGCAAAAGCCAAAGTGAAATAGATTTTAGCCGAGGGCCAAGTCCAAAGCTGACGTCTGTACATCTGTAGAGAGAGAAGAGGTCTGAGGACTGGGCCCTGGGAGGTCAGCCATCAGGGTCAGGAAGAGGAGGAGGCAGTGGAAGATTGTTAAGGGTCCAGAGTGAGGGAGATGAGGAAGAGAATGGGCTTGGTCACCTGAGATTGCCAGGTGTGCGTCACCACCAGGACCCTAGATGTGTCCCTTTTCTTAAGAGAAGACTCTGAAGTAGCTGTCGGACCCTCTGCTGCATGGCAGGTGTCTGTGGGTGTAAGTCTCCAGTTTGCAATGTCACTCCCAAGGTAGACCATTGGTGGGATGAGTGAGGGTGCCCATGCTGGAGTGCTGAGGTAGCTCTGAGGTGGCTGTTGTCCTGCTCCTAGCTCATGGGCGTGTCCTGCTTGCAAAAGGCCGGCCCTTCCTTGTGTAGTAAGTGTTCACAGCCTAACATTCAGCCCTCACCCACTTGCCTGCCACCCTTAAGAATCTGCCCCATTTTCGTCTTCCTCCTTCTCTTTCTGTGCTAGGAAGATAGCAGCCCTGAGCTGCTTCTGCACCCCATCAGATGGGGTAGTCACCCAAGACCCAGCCCCAGGCAGCACTCAGGCACAGCCAGCGTCCTGCGCCCTGTTATGCATTGAGTGTATCCCTCCTAAATTCATGTTAAAGTCTAGCCCCCAGGACCTCAGACTGACTGTGTTTGGAGACAAGGTCCTTAAAGAGGTAATTCAGTTAAATTAGGTCATTAGGGTGGGACCTAATCCAATATGACTGGTGTCCTTATAAGAAGAGGAGATTAGGACACAGACACACACAGAGGGGCAGCCAGGTGAGGACACATGGACAGCCATCTATAAGCCAAGGAGAGAGACCTCAGGAGAAACTAACTCTGCCGATATCTTGATCTTGGACTTCTAGCCCCCAGGACTGTGAGGAAGTAAGCTTCCATTGTTTAAGCCGCCCGTCTGTGGTACTTGGTTGTGGCGGCCATCCAGTTTCCTCCTTCCCTCCTCCTCCACCCCAGGTCCCTGGTCATGTCCAGTCTGCAGGGCTGCCTGGTGGAAGGGGATAGCAGCGGCATGGGCTCCCCGTCTCTGCCCGTGGGCGAGGCTCTCGGACCACTGGCTCTCTGTGACCGTCCTTCCATCCCAAAGGGCCCCTGTACACTGGGGGCCCTGCTCTGTACTTTCAGGGTGTTCATCAGACAGACAGCTGTGGATTACTCAGCAAGGACCCATTAGCTGCAGGTGGAGGGAAATCAAACTGTACAGACGGGAACCACTTCCATGCCCGCAGGATGTCTTTCGTTGGGCTGCTTTGCTTTGTGCCAGCACTCACTGCTGTCCATCCTGATGTTTTTAGGTATCGCCATCTCGCCACTAGGCCCCTCCCTTGTCTGTGCTGCATTTAGCCCTAGGAAAGTGACTGACACACAGTAGGTGCTCAGTAACTATGTTGTGAGCGAATGAATGAATGAATGAATGAGTGGAGTATGCTGAGCCTAGCAGACATTGCTGTATAGTTGTAACATCCTCAAGGAAATATCACAAGTGCTTGTCCTTGTTCGAATTGAGGGAGGGGAGAGAATGTTGAAGTAGCAGACACCTCCAGCGAAAATGCCTTAAACAGAATTTGGCTAGGGCCCACTTGCAAGATGGAATCCCACTGCGACCAGCCTTTATGGGGATGTGTCTCGACTGCCTTGCCTTCGTGATCTGCTGTCACTGCCAGCTGCCGACAGCGGCTCTGAACCAAAGGCTTACAGCATGGCAAGCTCTGTGCCCAACATGTCATCGTCACTTGCTCGGTGTTCTGCAGTGTCACTTCTGTTGTTTTGCAGAAGAGGTCTGTCAGGAAACACCGAGTCTTAGAGTTAACAACTGGGAGGGAAACCTGGGGATCCTTCTTGGCCTTGCCCCTCAGCAGATGTGGGGTCAAGCGTCTTCTACTGTTCCGCCCAGAAGGGAAGTGAAGGCGCACGGATCGTGGCTGGCTCTGAGTCCCAGTAATTGACCCTGGAGCAGATGTGACAGCTCCTGTCCGGCTCCTTCTGATTGCTTCCTGCTCAGGCTTGGTGATAAAGTCATCGCCGGTTTCTGTGAATATCTAATAGTCCCTCTTATCGTTGCGTCCAGGTGTTAGAGAAACCAGAGTAGGGGCACAGCGTGCAGGGAGGCACCAGGCGACATGACAGACCCTTTTCATCTTCTTAGCACCTCCCTGCCCTCGCCTCCCCGTCTGTCCCTGCACCCCTTGCCTCTCCACTGCATCTTGCATCATTTTGTCCATTTTATGCCTATAGTCTTATCCCTGCACCCCCACCCCCCTTTATCGTGGAGTAGTTGTCTAAGGAATACGAATGACTTGCAAGTTCAGAGTTCTGGGGCTCCACACCCTGGAAACTCCCCACTGTTGCCGGTGATCTGCCTGACCTCGGGACTGGGCTGGGGAGGGGGCTTCCTTTCAGCCAGTGGACCAGGAGGCCCTGAGTCCCTCCAGCTTTCCTGACACTCTGCCTTTTGCTCTCGTCCTCCTCGCTGTAGAAAAACTGGCGGACTGCAAGCTGAACGTGGCCGAGGTGACACAGTCCGAAATAGGGCAGAAACAGAAGCTGCAGACGGTGCTGGAAGCCGTGCATGACCTCCTGCGTCCTCACGGCTGGGCACTCCAGTGGACCGTAGACTGTGAGTGCTGCTGGGGAGAGGGAGCCCGTCCTCTCAGCTGTGCACACGGTCATTTGTCATCGACATAGCCTCGCATTTAAACGTTCTGTTCACACCCCTGCTTTGTGAGAAGCAGCTAGGAGAGCGGAGAGCCAGCATCCCCACTGTTGGGAATCATGCCCACCAGCTCTCTCTGTCCCCCCCACCCTGCCCACAGGCTTCAGAGTAAGGGGTCTTTTCTGGTTGGTCGGATCAGGGAAGATGTCCAGAGAGAGGAGGGGAATTCGGGTTAAAAGACAGAAGGAGCTCTGTGGGGTTCTTGGAAGGAACCCAACCCCAGATACCAAAGGCACCCACACCAGGTGAGCTGTCATAATGAAGACCTGCCAAAGCAGGTCCTCAGGAAGCAGTTCCTGCTGGCCGCCAGTCTATGTCTCAGAGCGTGCTGGCATTAGGGATACGTGATATCACAGCATTTCCAGCTAAGACATGAGCTGGAAAGGTGAACGCAACCAAGAGAAGCTGGAAAGTTCTTTGTTCCGGCTTCCTCATCCTCAATTCAGGGCCCTCCGGGCTGTGGCTTAGACGCTCCCCCTGCTGGGCGAGGGGCCCCTGTGGCTGCCCCTGAGATTTGCCCCGGTTTCTAGGCATGGAGCCCTTGGGCAGACCCAAGCCTACGGCACGGGCTGCGGGGCTGTGTGTGGGGAACTCGAGCGCTTTGTCAACTGTAGAGCCCTGTACAGACAGTGCTCATGGCAGCCACGTCTGGTCCGCCTGCTGGGAGGGACGCTGGCAGGCTGGCGATGGCAGGCACCCAGGCAGGCGGGAGTCACATCCCAAAGCCCTGTTGCCCTTGATCGCCTGCTTGCCCTGTGGAGATGGAGGGTTGCCCCGAGGGAGCCCTTTTTAAATGCTGGAGATAATAACGCACATTACCGTGATGGCTGAGTGGCCAGGACGACCTGTTCTGCGTGATTTTTCCCCTTCTCTTGTGCTAATTTTACTCTCCTGCCCATTGCTCTTCTCATCACCCCACTATTTCATCCTTTTAAAAGCCTCAGGCTTTTCAAAGTGGTCGCACAAGTCACCTCAGGCCCACAGGAAAGAAAAAAAAAAACCCGGAGCTAAATGCACACAGGATGCTCATCAGCTCTCTTCATTTTTCTGTGGCCTGTGGTTTTCTTCCCATGGTTTCCCTCGGAGTCTCTTTTGGACGCAGTGTCTCTATTGCCTCCTGGACTTGGGCTCGGGGTTCCTCTATCACTGGATATAACGCAGCTCCTCTCTTCCCTCCCCTGACCAGCAATCCATGGGAAGAACCTGGTGGCCATCCTGCACCTGCTCGTGTCCCTGGCCACACACTTCCGGGCCCCGATCCGCCTCCCCGAGCACGTCTCTGTGCAAATGGTGGTCGTGCGGGTGAGTATCGCCAGGCTGGCGGGCGGCTTGCCCGCAAAGCTGCTGCAGAGGCACCAGACTTCCTCCCTTGTGTTTTCCCTGCTTTCTTCTCCCCCCGCCCCACCCCAAGAGGCTACCTCCTGTTTTCCCCCTTGACAAAACATATGCCTGGCCCTGGCTTCCAGATAAATGATTGGAGCAGGAACAAGGGCACTGACTTGAAGAGCGGCGGGTTCAAAGGCACGGCAGTGTTGAGGTTTAAGTTTTCCACATTTTTGCAAATAACATTCGTTTCCCTCCGAAGCCAAGTCATCAGAATTCAGCCCTCTTGAAGGAGCTTACTGCTCGCTGGAGAGGGTTGAGACCCGCGGTATGAAATTGATACCCCATTAAAACTGCTGTGCGTTTGCTCCTTCTGTCTTGTGTCCACCACTCCCCGGGGTTGTTTTAGGGTCATTTCTCTGGCTTCACTTAGAGAAATGTAACCGGGAGCCAGGGTCTTTCCGACAGAGGTGGCACAGCCTTTCCTGACTGGTCCCCTGCATTTAAGGGGACAGGCCTGGCCCCGGCTTTGTGTTAGCAGTTTTGTCCAGTATGCGTGTATTAAGCACCTACTGTGTACCTGGCACTCCACACTGGCTATCGGGGACACTAAATGAGGAAGACACAGGGGGTCCCGATGGACCCCTGCTTCTGCCAGAGCATTGCGGGGACGCTCGGAACCTGGATGTCTCGCGTGTTTATGTTACTGGAGACGCCCAGCTCCATGTTCTCCTCTGGTTTGTAAACACGTCGGGGCCGTGGTCTCCGTGGTCTGCGAGGCCCTGGCTGACCCTGTGTTTCCCAAAGCCGCCTGACCCTTCCATTACCCTGGGGGTTTGGCCTTGACCCGACGGGGGGAATGCCCTTCTCTGGCATCAGGCCCCGTTTGCTTCCTCAGGAAGAATGCCTGTGGTCGGCGGCGGTGGCCCGCCGGGGGACTCTCCCTGCCACCCTCCTCTTGGACGCTTCCTCGAGGTGGCTGGCGGGAAAGGCTTTCTGAGGACACGCGAGAACGTGGTTCCCAGACCCACATACGTCAGACCCGGGGCCCTGCAAGCTCCTTGCAGCTTGGTAATTGGGGTATTTCCTTTCAGGCCTCACTTTGATCCAAGGAAATCTTTTGGGTTTGCGGAAAGTTTTACTGACCGGGGCAAGCACTTGCTGGCACGTCCCCCTTGACCAGGGTTACAGGAGGTTTCTTTGGACCAAAGTGGAATGAGTCGGGGAGAGGAGGTCCTGAGAACTGGCCGTCCTCCGTCCTCAACCCGCCGCCCAGACCTCAGAGCTGCCCCCTGTCTCCCCCAAGGGCCCCTGGCCTGTCCCTCCACATCCTGTTACCCAGTCTGAGGTGCGGACATGCAAAGAATGGGGCAGTTGGCAGAAGACAGAAATGAGGACAAGGGCGGCATTCACCACCTAGCAGTGTGGCCTTGGGACAGCCCTTGATGGCTCCGAGCTGCCGTGATAAAATTGAGGCTGTACCTTTAAAATACTCAGCTTCGTGTGTCTAACAGCTAACCCTGGGCCTGGCATCTTAGTAGGTGCCTAATGCACATAGGATGTGTAAGTAAGTGAATAAAATGTCTCTGGGCCTCCCTCAGTGGGCTGTCCTAAGACTCAGTCAGGGTGAGGCTGTGACAAAGCCAACGGCTGCCCGAGGGTGACAACTCCGCTCAGGAAAGCTTGGGAAGCTTGGGTCTTGGATTATGTCCACAGTGGGCTGCCCAGCAGGAAGTGAGTTCCCCGTCCCTCCAGGGGTTTAAGTGGGGGCTTTTGGTGGTGGCTGTGATAGGCGGACTGCCCCGCCGCCCCGCCATATTGCCTCCTCATTCCTGCCAGGCTCCAGGAGAAGTTTGCCACACACCGTGTTAGGGTCCTAGGGCTGCTCTAACAACATACCACAAACTGGGGGGCTTAAGACAACAGACATTTGTTCTCTGGAGCCACAGTGCGAATGAAGGGGTGGGCCGGGCCGTGCTCCCTCCGAAGGCTCCAGGGGAGGGTCCCTCCTGCCTCCTCCGGCTTCTGGGGGCTCCAGCTGTTCCTCGGCGTTCCTCGGCTGTAGACACCCCCCCCCCCAGCCTCTGCCTCTGTCGTTAAGTGGCCTCTTCCCGTGTCTGTGTTCCTGTCTCCATTTTCTCTTTTTATAAGGATACCAGTCCTGTTGGATCTATGACCCACCCTAATCCATTTTGGCCTCATCTTAGCTAATTACATCTGCAAAGACACTATTTCCCAATAAGGTCACGTTCTGAGGTTCTGATGGACATGACTTGGGTGGGGGTGGGGGGGGCGCTATTCAACCCAGCACGTGTGTGACTTCACTGGGTGCTTCTCTGTTGTCATTTTTGTTCCATGGTGCTCTTCAGTTCTCCCGGCCGCAGGATGTCTGGGGCCCTTTTGGGAGCTGGGGTGTCTCTCCCGAGACCCCCACAGCTGCCAGCTCCCAGAGCAATGTGGAGACCCTAGGGTTGGGCATGAAGGTGGGAGGCAGCTTCTAGCCAACTAAAGGGTCAGCCCCTGTGGTCACCTGCGGTCCACCTACCTGGGCACATGGCTTGGATGTTCTACACGATCCCTTGCTCATTTGTTGTCCCTAAGGTGGTCTCTGGGCCCCCCGCCACCTACAGATGGTTTCGGCTACCCTGTCAGCAATGGCCTCCCTCCTGTCCTCTCTGCCTGCTCGGGTGCTTGTGTATTTATTTGTTCATTTTGGGGTTTTCAGAAGCGGGAAGGCCTGCTCCATTCCAGCCACGTCACAGAGGAGCTGACCACGACCACGGAGTAAGTGGACCTGCTGCCCGGCCCTCTCGTTTGTAATTAGGGTGGGACAGGATTTACCAAAATGCGACTTACGTTTCTGTAAATGGCTCTTCAACTGGGCATTTCGAGGACCCAGCTTTGGGGTCACCTCCATGGTCCTCCTTCATGGCTCTCTCTCTGTTCTTGTTTGCAGGATGATGATGGGGCGGTTTGGTAAGTAACGCCAGGTGTGTGGTCACCAGGCACTTTGGGGGTGTCCCAGGAAGCCCCCAGGGTTCACACGGTGGGGGGAGGGGAGCAGCAGAGCCCCGGGTGGGTTTCGCCACCCCCAGCAGTTCTGGAATCTCGGAGGAAGTGTGCGTTGCGCTGTGGGCTTGTGGTTTGCTTCTCAGAGCTGGGCGAGGCCGGTGGCACGGAGCAGAGTGTGGTGGGAGGTTGATGTGGTGAAAACAGGATGGGGAAGTGTCTGGGATGTGGCACGGGACTGGAGCCGGGAGCAGAACCAGGCCCAAAGGGAGGGCGGAGATGTTGGCTGGACATGGAGCACAATTAGCCAGGAGAGTTTCTTTATAGGATGTGCTTTCATATCTAGTCTTTCCAGCGTAGACTCTCCAGCTTAACAAACAGACTTCCTCGGACAAGCGGCCCTGGCTCTGGTCCCAGCTGGGCGACTTTTGGCCTGCTCCTTCTCCTCTCTGTTCTCATCTGTGAAATGGGTCAGTCAGAGATTGTTGAGCAGGTTACAGGAGGCAGTACATGTGCTGTCCTTGGCCTGGGACCCGGCGTCCTTTCTGCGGGGGTCATTATATTACTGTTAGTTTTCAGTGGCTGTTCCCTAGAGATGTCTGCAGCCCTGTCAAAGCCCCATAACACCATCTCAGGGAGGGATGGCAGATAAAGGGACACCTTGTGGCAGAGTTTCAACCCTCAGGGACGGGAATCCCTGACTCTCAGCTGGGGGCAGCCTGAGCCTGGCTCACTGTTTTGGGGAACATTCTCAAGCAGAAACCCTCGACCCCCAGTACCATGGCAGGGGAGGGGCGCACAGCTGTTAAAGGGAAAAGAGGAAAGCAAACAAGTTTCCATCTGTGCCTCGGGACCCTGCCACCCTGGCATCGTCCACGGGCTCGGCCACTGGGCTCTGTAACTTCAGGTGGCAAACTCCTGTGCAAGTGTGACGCTTACATTCTCAAAGGTCTTGAACATGAGAAAATGCAGCAGTTATGTCCTTAAGTTTTCTTAAGTAGGCCTTAAGCTGGGCTGGGGAAATTCAGTCTTCACTATGTTTTTAAAGTAGCAATTCGGTTGTTTTTAATGTCTTTATGATATTTAAGAAAGGGTGGGGGCAGGGGAAGGAAACTGTCTTGTGTCCAGTGGCTGAGGGCACAGAGCAGCATTGGGGAGGGCAGCTCACGGGGCCAGCGTGGGACGCCTGAGTGGACAGGCGTCATGGGTAGCCTGGCCTTGCCCTGTGTCTGTGAGGAGGCCTGCGGGGGTGCAGGGGCGCTGTGCACCTCTGCACAGAGGGGATCAGATCCCCGTGCACAGTAGAGGCATAGAGGTGACAAGTGGGGCCCTCAGAGCATTTTAAACTGTTGCCTGTGGTTTTCTGTGTGTTGTCATTTCCTTGTTTGGGACAGGCCTGGTTTGAGGTTTGGGGAACTTGGGAGAATCAGTCCCGTTGGGGGCTGTGCGGCACTCGTGGTAGAGGGAGTAGACGCTCGGCAAGAAGCCTCCCACTGTGCTGTGAGCGGGCGCTCCGGGGGCTGGTGCCCAGCATGGCGACTCCTGAGAGCCAGGTGTTGCAGCGTGAAAAATGCCCAGCCGCCTCCATGCTGGCGAACGCGGGCGGTGGTTGAGCATGAGGGTGGGGGCGATGGAGCCGCAAAGCCCTCATTCCTTTACAAGCTCTCGCATGCGTGTGAGATGCAAACAGGCTATTAGTGGGTGGCAGGCAATTAGTTCCAACCCCTGGCGGCTTTGCTGACGCAAGCTCCAGGTCTCCTGGTTACCCAGACTGGCAGCCTCGGACGGAGGATGCAGCAGGGCTCCAGTGGGGCTCCTCAGTCCCCTGCAGCCCCACACCCCGCAGAGGGCAGACGTCCCCCCGGGGCACTTGACTCCCGCTAGCCCCTCCGGTTGGTTTTGTGCATCATCGTTGGGGCCAGGCTCCCTAAAGCACCCTTAGCCCCTCACTCTTCTCCTCATCACCCCTTCCCTGGGGTTAAGCCAAAGCCACGGCGCTCGCAGTGGCCGCTAAGGCCTTCTCAGCCCACCCCTCTGGAAGCCCCTCACTGCCTCTCTGCGCCCCCTGGTCCCTCTCCGCATGTCCAGCTGCCTGTGGCCCTTCCAGCTCTCACTCTGCATTCCCCTGGGCCCCACGTGCTCTCCCTCCAGATCCCTCCGTGGCTCACTCACTCAGCTCCTCCAGCTCTCACTCAGACGTCACTCCTCAGGGGACCCTCCCCGATCCCCCTGCCCTGAATAGTCCCCGGTGGCTCCTCCTGTCCCCTCCGTGCCTTACTGTTTCTTTGCTCCCTGTGTCGCTGTTTACGCAGTCAAGCCCTGTCATGTGCCTGGCAGACACCGTGTACTGCACGGTTGGGGACCCCGCCACTTCCCTCTTTCCCTTCTCACAGGGCACCTTGAACGGTAAGCGTCCTGTGGGCTGGAGCCGTGTCCTCCTCAGCGTGCGTCGCCCACAGCAGCCACCATTCCAGGGGCTCCCAGAACACCAGGCAGAGCCTCCTGGGCTGATGTCCACCTGCTGGGCTTTGCAAGGAGCCCTGTTCTCGGCCTCAGTTTCTCACATGAGCACGCTGAGCTAGGGACGGAGGGACCCACTCTGCCTCCCCTCCCTTTTCCCACTTCCTCTCCTTGCCCCCCACCCCAACTCCTGATGCCACCACTGTTGTGGCTGAAGTGGGGTGGGAGGTTCTTCTCTCCCCAGGGGAGTTGGGGAGCTGCAGCCTGATCTCCATGGCAACGGGCTTGCTGGCTGCCTTTCTCTGCAAGCAGCCCTCCCCGAGCCCCTTCTTGGGTAAGTGGGGGAGAAAGGACAGCTTTCTTCCTCTTCCCCTCCCTGTTTCCTTTTAACCCCGGTCCCTCCCCCTCACAGCTCCCCTTTTCTGCCAGCAGAGCTTGTCTTCACACTGCAGCCGATCTGATGGCCACTCCTGGTCACTGCCTCAGGCTCCTCACCCTGTGGGACCCCGCCCCCCTCCGCCGGCCCCACAGGTCACACCGCCTGGAACCCACTCAGTTTCTTGTGCCTCTCTCTGTACTTCCTGTTCCCTCTGCCCAAATGCCATTCTGACACGTCTTGCCCCAGCTCAAACATCGAGGTTCCCATGTGAAGCCTTCCTTGGACCCCTATGTCCATGGGCCCCAAATTCAGGTGCCTCCAGGGACCAGGCCAATAACATGAAAGAGGGAAGTGGCTGGACTATCCGCTTCCGGCAGCTGCCCCTGAGCCCCCGTGGGGTGGCAGTGGGGAGTGGTGGGGTCTGGGGCAACCTGGAGAGTCCACACCCCACTTCCATGGGCGGCTCGTTGATGCAAGGTGCCAATGCTGGCTCACTGTTGCCCCAGCTTCCAGTTCTTCAACAGAAACCAGAAATTCAGAGCTAATGGATAAATCTTCCAATTTAAAAAACGTTGACTAAAACAAACAAAAATAACTTTATTTGGACCAAACTGGACATCTCTGAAAGTTGAACTTGACAGACACTGGCCTGCTCTGGTTGATTTGGCCCCTTTCTGGCCTTTTTGGGTTCTGTCCCCTTGTGCCACCTTGGTTTACCCGGCTGCCTCCGCCAGCCTGGGCCCCTCCTTATTTGTCTGTGTGACTGTCCGCAGAGGGGGCGGTGAGGGTGGGGACCGGCCCAGAGGGAGCTGTATGTAGGGAGCTGAGTGCCTGTGAGGCACCGCACTGCTTGTCCCTTTCTTTGCACCCTTTAACTCCAGTGGTGACGGAGGGGCTATTCTCACTCCCTCTACGGAGGGAGAAACAGGTTTAGGGGAGGAAGCCACCGGCCTCAAGTCAGGGGATTTGGAAGTCGGGCAACCAGGATTTGAACCCTGATGTGTTTTCATTGCCAAGGCCAGGCACGCAGGGCACAGGAAAGGCCTGCCTGGCCGTGGGGGACATTGTTGGGATGTCGCCCTTGCGCCCTGACTCTGGGAGCCCAGCCGTGGCCCAACGAAATATACTCGGCTGGCGTGAAGCTCTGCTCTGCCCCTGGGTCTTTCTCAAGCTGCCTTTAAAATTTGTATCTTGCTTTGTAAAGATTAGCGTTTCCCCCTCCCTCTTAGCAGACTGTCGTATCGAGTATAATCTGACTTAGATGATTGTGAAAATAATTTACAGCTGCTGCGGTAGAAGCTTCTGCAGGCCTGGGCTTTTGGGTCGTCCGTCCCCAAACATATGCACATGCCCCATCCCCATATTCACATGTGTGTATAACACTCACACACACACACACACACACACACACACACACACACACACACACACACACCTTTCTCTCCCTTCTATTTTGCCTCTCACCTCCTTTCCCTCCCCCTAAGGCCAAGGAGGAGGCTACCTGGGCTGACTCCCCACAGCCCTGCAGCCACCCTGGGGACCTCAGCCCTCCTGCCTGCGGTCCAGCCTGTAGTGGTCTCTGACGTGCCCCCCCGTGGCCCCACGGCCGCATCAGGCTGGACCCAGCCAGACGTGCTCCTTTTTATCCTCCATGTTGACTCAGCTCCAGGGGCCTCATGTTGGAAAAGGAAGGGGTTGATTTTGTGTTAATTTAGAGGGCAGGTTGGACACATGAGTGGTAGTTGGAGTGGGTTAGGGCTCGCCTGGGAGAAGGAAGATGTCTGGGACACGGTGGAAATGGGCTGATATTTAGGCCCTACAGATATTCCCACTGAGGAGGACACCCTGGAAGAGTTTCTGTAGAGAGACTGTGGAACAGGGTCTCCTCTGGTTCATTCATTTGTTCTGAGCACCGGCTGTGGGCCCTTCACTGTTCTGGGTGCAGGGAACAAGCGAGACAGTGGTGCCAGCTCTCGAGACACTGACAGTCCAGCAGGTAATACAGCACAGACAAATAAAAATAAAACGTACCCTCAAGTAGTGATGAAATGCAATGAAAAAAAGGCACCAGAACAGATAGTGGCAGCAGGGCGCTCTTTTCCATGGTCACGGAATGCCCCTCAGAGGGGATAATACCTGAGAGCAACCTGTAGGAAGTGAGGCAGGTGGACAGCAGGTGCAAAGGCCCTGTGGTGAGTGAGTGACGGAGGAGCAGTCGGGAAGCCGGTCAGTGGAGGGAAGTCAGGGAGGGTGAGTGTGTTGGGGGATGCCACTGAGCCTGCTCGGTCCCGTGGGCCCAAGGGAGGGAGAATGACTTTATTTTAAGAGTGATGAGAAGCTATCAGAGTTTTAGTCGGGGCAGGGATGGGGAGGAGGCAAGAAATGGTCCAGTTTATACTTTTAAAAGCTTGTTCTGCCTGCCGGGAAGAATGGATCGGAGGGACTAGAGTGGAGAGGGAGGCTGGTTATGCCAGAGGCTGTAGCTTGGCCCAGGAGAGAGGCAATGAAATGGATGGGGCTTGTGTGGGGGTGGCAGCCATGATGAACCGGAGAAATGGTCCGACTTATTGGCAAGACTTACTGCTGGATGAGGAGTGTGGGAAAAGGGAGAGGCAAGGATGCCTCCAGTCCTAGGATGTGATGGGGGTGTATGTCCAAGTGCTACCCCTGTGTTTCATGTTAAAAGACAGACGCTGAGCTAGCAGGAACCTGACGAGCATCTTTTCCTTGGTTGAACCCCTTGCCAGCACGCACCCTCTGGCTCCGGCAGCAACAGAAAGGATTCTAGGCAGGCGTGAACATCCTGGGGAGCAGGCGCTGCCTCTTCCTCGGGGCGGACGGGGACGGGAGCAACACCGTGTGTGCCCATCAACCCTGTTTCTGTGTCTCCCCATGTCACGCAGAGCGGGACGCCTTCGACACCCTCTTCGACCATGCCCCGGACAAGCTCAGCGTGGTGAAGAAGGTAAGCCTTGATGGGTTGTGTTTTCCTCCTCTCCAGCCTTTTTTATAGTACGGACTCCGTGCTGGGGAGAAGGTGGGAAAATGTTTGAAGTCTCTGAAATGTTTGCCACATGGATTGAAGTATAATTATAGTCAAAACGTAACTACAGTGCATAAAATTAGCGCCTTTTAACTCAATGTCTCTGCTCCCTGGGTTTCTTCCTGCCCACCCGCCCGTTTCTGCTGCCTGTTTCTGCCCCATGGGTTCTCTAGCCAGAGCCACGTGGTGGTTCAGTTCCACCCGAGGCTTTTTTTTTCAGTGTGGAAGTGTTTTTAAGCGTGTCCACCTGCTGGCTTTTGTTGGCCTCGTTACCACGAAGCTGCATTCACAGCCTGCCCAGGAAACAGGCAGCCTTTCTGGGCACAGCCACTGTGCATGTGGACGTGGCCCATTTCCCCTTAAACAGGAGCACAAAGGCCAGGCCCCTCACCACCAGCCCAGGCAGCCTGCTGGTCAAACATGGATGGAAAAACCCGTGTGAACCCGAGGCTCTGGAGTCTGGGGGCTGGGCAATAAGGAGATTCCGGGGCATCTGCCAGGAAGGCTAGTTCTCCCCCAGAGGGAATCGAGACTCACTCGCTGCCCATCAAGCCACCTGAGTACCTGCAGACGTCTCCCTGGAGAAGGCAGTGGCAGGACAGCTGTGCTTCCGCCTTTCTGTGACATCTGGGGAGTGATCACTTCTGCCCGCCACCCAGGAGAGAGTTCTTTGTGTAGGACAATGTCCCCAAACAGGTTTCTTAATGCAGGACTTCTCAGAGCCGCAGGACTTCTCAGAGCCTTTAGTATACTGACATGTGTGGAAGTTATTTTGAGACAGAACGCATTAAATTTCCGTGGAGCCCACTTGTACAAAATGCTAGTCCAGGCTGGGACATGAGATTGTTGGTCGTTGGAAACGCTTTGCAAAAGGCCTGTGGAGTCCTCCCAATGGTCCTGCAGGGCGGAGCCTTCTTAGCATGCTTGGGTCATACCTTGAGGCTGCAGAGCAGTGCCCTCCTCCCCCACGCCGGCCACATCTGGCCCTGGGACCCTGACAGAGCTGGTTCTGTGGATGATTTAAATCTGGCTCCCCCACTTACCAGCTGAGTGACCTCAGGCAGACTCTACTCCCCTGCCTCGGTTTCCCCCCCTCACAGGGGCTCCATGAGAGTAAAATGTGACCATGCACAGTACATGGTCACTAGACGGTGTTGAACATGACATAGCGAAGGTCAGCTTTCATTTTGCAGTAGATACGATGCTAATTCATTCTTTGTAAAGACATAGTGTGGGCACTGGGACCCCAGCAATGAACAAGACAAAATCCGTTCATTTGCCTGACAGCTTCCTGCTTCCAGCCTGGCCCTTCCCCACCCCGACACTGAGAGCTGCTGTGTCAGGGGCTCCCCATACCCCAGACGCACGGCAAGGGGACCCTGCCCATCTCTCCAGGTCTCTCCGGGTCACCCCGTGCCTACTCTCTCCCATCCCACCCACATCCAGCCGCCGCCTGAAGATCCCAAAGGGTTTGCCCGGGTGTTCGTGGCCGGTGCCTGCGCTGCCCACTCCCGCCACCCCAGGCCCAGCTCAGATGCTGCCTCTCTCCCACCACTTCCGGGGAGCCACACGCCTCTCCTGTGCGCCCACTGAACCTCCCCGCTAGGGTGTTTCACGTGCTTTGCTGTATCTCTCGATTTCTCTGTCACCTCCACCAGGTGTGTATAGGGAGAGCTATGTCCCAGGCTCTCCAGGGTGGGGCTCTGTGCTGCTGTCTCTGTGTCCCCAGCACCAGGCAGAGTGCCTGGCCCATAGCGGCTGCTCTGTGAATTTGAGAAGAAGCAATAAGGAGATGACATCCTGTCCAGAGATGGGGGTAGGGGGTGGGTATTGAGTTTCCATAAAGTTGGGTTTCATTGCTGAGAAAAGTTACTGGTGACAAGCTTTGAAATGCCAAAATTAAAATAAAATAAAAGTAAGAAAGAAAGAAAGACAGACTCAGATACACAGAATAAAGATGGTTGCCAAATGGGAGGGGGATTGGGGGCCTGGGTGAAAAAGGTGAAGGGATTAAGAAATACAAATCGGTAGTTACAAAATAGTCACGGGGATGTAAAGTACAACATAGGGAATATGGTCAATAATATTGTGATAACTGTGAGTAGTGCCAGGTGGGGACTAGACTTATCAGGGGATCACTGCATAAATTATGTAAATGTCTAATCACTGTGCCGTACACCTGAAACTAATATATGTCAACTGTAATTGAAAAAAGTTTTTTTAAATGCCTGCTCCCTTGAGATAAAGCCCGGGTGGATTCTCTCCGAAAACTGTGAGGGGTGTGGCCCGAGGCCACCTCTCTGCCTCAGTCTTGTGTCATTCAAGGTTACATGTAGGAGACCTTTAAAAGTTGAATTATCTGCCCTTGACGACGGTCTCCTTGCGAAGGCACTGATATGTGTGTGTGAGGGTGAGTGTGTGTGCACATGGGTTGGTGAAGAGAGGTGTGCGTTTTCTTCTCCAGATGGGGTAGGTTTAGTCATTGTCTCATTAAAACCAAGGGCTATTGTAAGAGCATTTCGTCTTAAACATGAGCCTTTTCTTGAGGCCAAGAGAGGAAGTTAGGCAAGCGTTTCGCAAAGCCAGTGATGGCGCGTGCGGAATCCGTCCCTCGGGCGGGAGCTGCCTCTCTCTCATGGTCCCTGTGTCTCTTTGCCTTGACAGTCCCTCATCACATTTGTGAACAAGCACCTGAACAAGCTGAACTTGGAGGTGACGGAACTAGAGACCCAGGTAAGCAGTGTTCTGGGTTGAAGGGTCCTTTGTCCCGTGTCGTTTCCAGCCAGCGCCCTCTCTGATCCCAGGTGGGTCCTGTGGACAAACCTGGTGCCATCTTGTTCGTGACAGGAATGGCCACCCTGCAGCTGGAATAGCTCCAGCCTCCGCCACCCTGGCCTTCTCTCAGATCCTCTGTCTTCAGTTCCTGGGGCTGCCCGAACAAACCACCACAAAACTGAGTGGCTTAGACAACAGAAATGTATTCTCTCACTGTCTGGAGGCTGAAGTCCCAGCATTGGCAGGGCTGGTTCCTTCTGAGGGCCGAGCAGGGGCATCTACTGTAGGCCTCTCTTCTGGCTCCGAGGGGTTTGCTGGTGACCTTTGATATTCATGGGGTCATAGATGTGTCACCCCGATCTCTGCCTCTTATCTTCACGTGGCGTTCTCCCTGTGTGCGTGTGTTTCCAGGTTCCCTTTTTCTGTAAGGACACTAGTCGTGTGGGATCAGGGCCCACCCTACCAACCTCATCGTAATTGATTACTTCAGTAAAGACTATTTTAACAAAGATTCACAGGGTCTGGGGGCTGGGACTCCACTACACTTTATCGGGGGGGGGCACAGTTCAACCCATTACACCCTCCAAGGTGCCATTCCACCCCCACCAAAGAGCCTCTGCATGTGCAGGCCCCTCGTTCTAGAATGTTCTGTCCCCCTGCTTCTGCCCTCCACTGTGGTCCTCACGCTTGGAGCTGGAGCTGGCATCTGGCAAGTGCTTGCTAAATATCCCTCTAATGAATGTGCACAAAATATTCTTTCTGCAGAAAGTATATGAAGTACAGTTGACCCTTGAATAACAGGTTCAAACTACGCAGCTCCACTTATACTCAGACTTTTTTTCAATAAATATACTGGAAAATTTTTTGGAGGTTTTTCTTACTAGCAGGAAGCAATCATATTGCTGCTGCTTTGTTATCAGTGCATGAATTGTTATACCTGTAAATACATAAGTATTTATTTTTCACATTATCTTTTCATTTTTGATGTGTAGCGTTAGTAATACATATAACACCTACAGTGTTTTGTATCCTATAAGGGAATATTGATGTAGGTGCTAACGATTCATCTTATAAACAGGCAACATTAACTTACGGCGTGGATAAATACAGCACACTACTGTAAATGTACTTTCTCTTCCTTATGACTTTCTTTAATAACATCTTTTGTCTAGCTTGCTTTGTTTTAAGAATACAGCATATACTATGTGGATTTTCAACTGTGAGGGGGGTCGACTCCCCTAACCCCCTCATTGTTCAAAGGTCAACTGTATACCCCCCACCTCCACTCAGAACAAAAGTAGCATCCTGAAAATATGTGTCGAGCGCTCAGCAAGCGTTAAAGACAAAATATCATTTTCCCAGGATTAGCTGGGGCTGGAATTCTGAGCCTGGCGCTCTCTCTAACGCACAGCTGATCTTTCTTCAACCCCTGGGTGATTGCATTCATCCTTTCTCTTTCTTTAACTTTCCTCATTTGCGTTTCTAATTAAAAAAGTAATTCAGGTTCATTGTGGAAATGTCTGAAAATGCCGATAAGCAAAACAAATAAAAATCATTTGTAATGCCATCACCCGGAGATACCTGCTGAGAGGCTGGCTGCAGATCTCTCCTCTGCATGGATAACGGATCACGGGGCTCTGTATTTGAAAGCAAAACATTAACAGCCGCATCGACTCAGGCATTGGGTGCAAGTGCATTTATTATTTTCAGCAGTTTACTAATATCGCACACTTAACCTCTGGGTATTTGCTGTTTGATGTAGTAACAGCCCAGAATAGACTGATTGAAAATGCCCCTTTCTCCCTCTCCACAATCTCCCTCCATCACCCTCTCCAGGGTAACTAACTATACTTCATGGTTGGATGTATATTTTTCTAGATATTTTATATGCATACATGTAGTTTTTAAACGGCAGTGGCTCATACTATACAGCTGTTTTGTAATGTGTTTTTTGTTACTAAATATATCGTGGGCACCTTTTTGCATGAGTGTGTGTGTGTGTGTGTGTGTCCCATCTTTTCTCTGTTGCCTGGCCTGTCTTTCTATATTTGTCACTTTTAATAGCTGCCTTCTATCCCATCTATGGCTGTGCTGTGCTTCATTAAGTCGGTCCCTCATGACGGGGCATTTCCTGTGCTTGTAAATCGCAGTACAGTGAGCATCTACGCTCACGCTGTTTGTGTCTTGTCTGTTTCCTCGGGATAAGCTACAAATAGAATCATTAGAGCAAAAGGAGCGACACTGAGGGTCCAAGAAGGTTTGACCGCCTGAAGCTCTCACCACAGTGCTGAGAACCCTCGCCAGCAGCTCCCGGCTGTCACTTCTCAGACGAGCCCACACACCAGTGTGAATAGCCAGATATCTTAGACCAGCGGTTCTCAACCTTCCTAATGCCGTGACCCCTTAATACAGTTCCTCATGTTGTGGTGACCCCCAACCATAAAATTATTTTCATTGCTACTTTATAACTGTAATTTTGCTACTGTTATGAATCGTAATGTAAATATCTTTTTGTTTTCCAATGGTCTTAGGCGACCCCTGTGAAAGAGTCATTCGACCCCCAAAGGGGTCACGACCCACAGGTTGAGAACCGCTGTCTTAGACCGAGACTCTAAACTTAAGTGTGCATTCAACTTTACTTACTCAGTATCGCCATTTTTTCCCTATTACCACATTATGTAAAGTAATATCTTAAAAGTATTTTTAACCACTGGTCCACCAGTAAAGACCAGTGGCCACAGAAATGCAGAGAACTTTTTTCTTTTGTTGCAATGAAATTGGATATTTTTATAAATATGTTCATCATTAAAGTCCAGCTACCCTTTTTGTGTCCTGGGCAGTTTCCTCGCTCTGATACTGAGCCAGTTAGTCAACCTCTCTGACCTTCTCTCCATATATTTAAACTAGAGACCATAGATATGGTGAGGCTTAATGGAGAATAATGCGTTTAAAGGTCGCTATTAAAAATATATACCAGGGATGACAAAAAAACGTATACAAGTGGACACTTTGGTCAGCATTGCTCAAGAAGTAGTTTGCCATAATCAGGGGTATCTGGATGCTGATGGGAACCACTTTGAGCGCCTCTTGTAATTGCAGAAGTCAAACGTGACTTGTATTCATCTTTTGTTATCAGTATATATATTGAGTATTACAATTTTAATACAGTTTTTTATTTTCTTAAAATGTGTCTACATTTTTTTGGGCACTCTCTGTATATTTTTTAAAAAATGAAGGCCGCTATTGATGATGGAGTCGCCATGATGGTGTCTTGGGGCCTCTGTGGGGTTGTCTGAGCTCGGCACAGCCCTGTCGCAGGACCCCTACTCTGTGTTTGTGAAAATAGAGGGATCTACTCCTTTCTGATAAACCACCACTCTCTGCCTGGCACTCACCCTCCTGGGCACCCCTTTCCCTTCCTGGGCCTTCCTGTCTTCATTTCCCATCTCTCCCCGCTTTCTATGACACGGTGGGCCAGGGATGGTTTAGAGATGCCATGAAAATAAGCAAGGGCTGCCCATCTTGGCCTGTGGGCAGAGCAGCACCACCGGGCAGGCGATGTGGGCAGTGTCTTCATTCACGGGCAACCCCTGGTTCCCTGGAAGTGGTCAGTGTTGATGGGAGTGGTGTCTCGGCCACACTGGCTCAGTGTCACTGGGGGCGAACTCCAGTGCGCTGCACCTGAGTGGAGCAGAAAACAGCTGTGTGGGTGCACATAACTTTTTGAAAACACTTCTGATCTCCTTAAGGCGATGAGTGAGCGATGTCTTCACGGTGTGGAAGCATGAGGCTCGTGACATGTAGGCAGAGGGTCCTTTACCAATCATACCGCGTTAAACCAAGGCCTGCGACACTCACCCTGGGACGTTCACACATCGCTCCTGGGTCCCTCTGCCCTGGGTTTGTTTCTTAGCTTCCCCGCCCCATCCCAAGTGCAGGTTTTGTGCTATTGGACGTTTGTGATTTTGATTTTTTCATCTTAAAATTGGGGGCTGGGCGGCCCGCCTAGGATGTTGGAAAGGACTGTCATTGTTTTAAAATAAAAATGCCTTTCCTTCTTCTACTTCTCATCTTACCCACTGTGGGTTGCTTAGTCTCAGGAAGCCAAGGGCCTCCTGGTGCCCAGCCCCTCACAGCTGTCCAGCTGTCCTACGTGGCCGTCCTCCAGACCACTCTGACCAGTAGAACTTCCTTTCTTTTTTTTTTAGCTGAGCCATCCTGCCACTTGTTGGCAGCTCAGCTCGGGTCGGGAATCAAACCACCAACCTGTTGCTCAGAGCTTGAACTCTTGAGCGAGCTCTTAACCAACTGAGCCACGCGGCCGGCCCTCCAGTAGAACTTTCTTGAAGGGTGGAAATGTATCACCGCACCATCCGATACAGTAGCCCCTGGCTACGTGTGGCTGTCGCGCACGTGAAATGTGGCTGAGAAGCTGATTTTCTATCCTAATTAATTTTCTGCTTTTATTAGCATTTATTTGATGATGAGTTTACTTCCAGGCCATAAGTTTTTGTTGCTTCAGTTTCTTCTGGGTTATCTTTTCCTCCTGTGCCACCTCCCCTTCTGGTTCAGGCACAGCCTGCTCTTTGTCAGTGAGGATCGGCTCCGTGTGGCAAGGGGGCTTGTGCACGGGGGAACCTGCCCACAAGCCCGGTAAGTTCTGTGCCACTATCTTGGGGGAGGCTTTGATCACCTGGCTGTGCTCAGCAAACAGAGTCTATATCGAAACCCTTATGTTCAGCATTCCTCTGTGCAGCAAAAATTCAGCACTCTGTTTGGGCCACGGACCCTGCGTCTAGCCCCACTGTTTGGCCTGGGGACACCTACCAAGCCACCGTTGTGACAACGGAATGGCACACCTTGCTTCTGTAAAGTGACATCCTTCAGACACTTGGTGGCTTCTTGGGTGTGCATCCTCTTGATGGCCTGGGCAGTTTCGCGAGTGCCCTTACAGTGAACACGAAGATTGGAACCTCCTGATTGGCATGATTTTGTGGGGTTCTCTGGGTCGAGTAAATAGCGAGCCACTTTCAGAGGTTACCTCAGGCCGCTTATGGGAAGAGCACTGTAATTAATTTTTTCTTAATTTACATTTAAGAGCTCTGGAGATTGGTTGTACAATAGTGTGAATGTACATAACAACACTGAACTGTACCCTTAAACATGGTTAGTGTGGTGAGTTTCATGTTGTGTATATTTTATCACAATTAAATTTTTTTAAACAGTGCAAGCCAGACAAAAAAGGACAAATACTGCATGGTTTCAGATGAGACACCCGGAGTCGTCAAATTCATGGAGACAGAAAGTGGGATGGTGTTTGCCATCCCATGTTTGGGGGGTGGGGGAGGGGAGTTTGCGTTTAATGGACACAGAGTTTCAGTTTTGCCAGATAAGAAAGTTCTGTGGATGGATAGTGGCGATGGCTGCACAACAACGTAAATGTACTTAATGCCACTGACCTGTGCACTTAAAAATGGTTAAAATGGTAAATTTCAAATTGTGTATATTTCACTGCAGTAAAAAAGAATCAGCAACGTTGAAGAACAAACATTTTTCGGTTCAATGGGCACATGTAGCTCGTGGCTGCCGAATTGGACGCTGCATTTCCAGACATGGGAGGAAGGCTGGGGTCCTCACGAGTCCTCGCCTTGCAGGGGACTCTGGCAAGTCCAGGCCCCTATGGGACGGCATCCCTGTCCCCTGAGGGGGTGGGTGAGGCCCTCCTTCGCCCGGTGCTGGTCAGGCCCTGGAGGTGAGGCAGGCCGGGTGGGGTTCCTGTACCTGGGTTCTGCCCTCCCCTCCGGAAACTGCTCTGCCCTGGTCAGTCTCCAGGGCTTTGTCTCTGAAAGGAACAATTGTGCCTTGTCCTGGCTACTTGGAAGAGGGGCTGTCTGCCAGGGAGCAGAGGCTTTTGTTCTAGATTCCTGGTCTCCCCCCTGTGGGTGGGAGGTGGTGCTGGGCCAGGGGGCGGGGAGACGGGCTGGGGGGGTTCTCGGCCGAGGCTTCCGGCTGCAGGCCCTTTCCCGCCAATGCCAGCCCCGCTGTTCAGGGCCCAGCTGGGATGGACCCTAGATGCTGGGATGGACACAAAGGCTCATTGTCACCAAGGCTCTAGGACGGAAAAGCCTTGTCCTGTGCCCTGAGCACAGCTAGAAGAAGTGCCACAACTGACGCTGATGGGGTGCTAAGCATGTGCTGGGCGGCGCTCCCTGCCCACCCTGAGAGATGGGAACCTGGTTGTCGTACCCCAGCCAGTAGTGGGGGATGGGCCTCGTGGCTGGGCAGTCTGGTCCTGCAGCCATGGTCCTGCTCACGCGGCCGCACCCCAGTTCCAAACACACGTCCGGTCCCAAGCGTGGCGCTTTGCTCCCAGGCTCTTCACCCAACTGCGGGCTCTCTCAACCTAACCCAGAGATAGATTGTTTTGCTTTAAAACATTTTCTTCCTCCTGCGTGGACACAGAGCATTTGCTGACTCTGCGCGCGGCCCAGAAGCGTCACCCAGTGTTTCTGTGTAGTTTGCAGATGGCGTGTACCTGGTTCTGCTCATGGGCCTTCTGGAAGATTACTTTGTCCCCCTGCACAACTTCCACCTGACCCCGGACAGCTTCGACCAGAAGGTACGTGGTGGCTCCTTCGTGGCCGTGCACGGTGTAGCGCGCCCCCGACAACTCTGGAGTCTAGCCGCGCTCTTCCAAAAATAAAAACCACACGACAAGTGACATGGCACTTAGACGTAACCCTCGGTAAAGGAGGGAGACCCGTCGGCAGTGCCTGGCACATCCCCTTGTCGGGCGCTGTGTTCGCTTCTGTGTCTTTCCCATGGGACGCGATCGTTTTTAATCATTGTGGTCAAATGTCAGTAGAGTTGCAGACCCGTCCCCTGGTCACGCCATGCGTGCGTCACGTCTGGCGTCTCCTGCTGCTTCACGAGCTTCCCAGATGACATTTCCCGTGGAGTGGCTCTGACGCCACTGTCTCCTGTCCCCCACTCTTGCATAATTGACTTGTTAAAACAATGGGATATCTTCTTGAATACATATACTTTTCATTCCTGTGGATTGTCTCTAGGAGAATTCCCCAGACAGGCGTGTTTGCATCCAGGGAGGGGCCTGACCTTTACATTTGGGTTGCCGGCTCCCCGGTGTCACCGCCCTGTGTGACTGGGCGTTTGCCTCCTGCCCGGGGCCTCCTGAAGCTCAGCCGTCCGGCAGTAGTTAGTGCGTCGCCTTTGGAAACTTAGCCTAGGGACTGACCCTATTGCTTTGGACACATGGACGTCTGTCATTTTGTTTTCCCAAAGTGCTAGACCTGTGAGTCAGAGAAGCAGACAACGCAGGCGGAGGTGACAGCCAGGGAAGCCCCCGATGACGAGGCAGTGTTTATCAGTCTGCCCACTTCTGGCACCTGGCAGGCTGCTTGCTCGTGGCCAAGCGTTCCCGTCTTGCCTGCTGAGATGGAATCAGAACAGATGAGACAGGTCCTGGCACGTTAGCATCCACCGTGAATGGCGAGAGTGTGAACGAGGGAGCAGAGGGAAGTAGCAGCACTGAGGGACCCGTCAGGAAACAGGTGGGGTGCTGTCCTGGGAACCAGAACACAGCTTGGTGAGGAGGCTCGTGCGTTTCCAGGTCTGACGTGGCTGGTGGCAGACGCATTGCTTTGGAAAGAACTTTTCTTGGTTCAAATTAAGAACGCTGGCGAGAACGGTGAAGTTCTCCAGGCCGTCTGGAATTGGGCTTCTTTCTGAGACAGGTTCTGCGCAAATGTCAGGGCCGTCACCTCCCAGCCAGGCCTTCTTCCCTTTGAAACGGGGATGAAAGCCTTTGGGAGCTGCTGCCCTGGCCTGGGAAGCGTGAGGCCTGTTCAATCCGCCTTCGCTTCTGAATGGGAGCCACAAAGGGAAGGCTAGATTAGGGGACGGCGTCCGGCACCGTGTTAGCCCGCTCACCCTGGAGAAGGGGCCTGCCTGGTGGTGTCTCTGGGCAGCTGGAGCTCTCCTAGGGGGATGCGGATTCTGGGGGTTTCTCACCCCACCCCGCTAGCCCTACCCCTGCAGTGTCTCCCCTCCTCTCACAGGGAGTAGTGGGTGTCACAGAGCTGCTGGGAAGTTCTTCGTGAGCCGTTACATTTATCCACCCCCTGGTCCTCCCGACCCCCTCACAGCCGGTGGTGTTTCCCCACTGCACAGACCTGAACTAGTCCCAAACCTTGAGCTCCCAGGCACTGTGTGATGATGTGGCCGGATGGTAGTGACATGGTCCAGAGTATCACTGAGTGTCTCCCAGGGGTCCTGAGAGGCAGCGTTGCTCTGGCACTTGGAACCTTTGCAGCAGCAGGAGACTGGAGTTCGGTGACTAAAATGGGAGATGCATCGTGGGCCTGTGTTTTTAAACAATTGCATTGGATTAAAAAAAAAATGAGACAGGACAGCTCAGACCCTTAGGTTTGTGCAAAGGGGAGGCACCCCTTGAATTATCTCAGAGGTTTGGGCACCTCCCACGGTTTTTTGTTTTACAGCCACCGTGTGAGTCTTACTCTGTGCTGGCCACTTTGCTAAGTACCTTGTGCCCATCCATCATCTTTCTGGAAGATTCCACAGTGCCTTCCCACCCCCGGAGTTGACTGTGCCTTGGAGGCTTGGAGGTTATTCCTAGAAGCAAATACCACAAAGGGCTTTAGTTTCAAGGTCCTTTCCCCTCTGTCCCCTTATCTGATTCCCTCTGTCCCCCCCGACAAGGAAACGGAATCTCAGGAGGGCCCGAGACAGCCCAAGGTGACACGGTCGGCAGGGGCAGAGCCAGAAGAGGCCCTTCCATCCAGAACCCTCTACGCCCCTCCCACCTGGCCAGGTTGTCCAAAATCCTTTGAATTGCAGAGAGAGAGAACTTTAGAGTGATCTGCTGTGTGGCTGGCCCTTGCAGCTGTGGCGTGGGGCTTAGGGGTTTGGCGTGTAGCCTGGTCCTTATGGGCCGCGGCGTCTCACCCTGCTGTCACAGTCAGGGAGGGTATCCCCAAAGCCCTGGCAGGAGCCATCTGCTGTTGTCTCTGCCCTGTCTGGGGGCCCGGGCTCAGGGCACGCTGCTCTGCTGGGGCATGAGAGGTGGCCGTTGGTGAAGGCATGGCTCTGACAGATGACAAGAGGAGGCTGGTGGCCCTTTACTGTCTGGCCATTTCCTCAGACTGCGAAGAAAGCAGAAGAAAATCTTGCTTCAGGACCAGTCACTGCTGGGCTGAGTGGCTGCAAAGTGGACTTGGAAGGAAGTGTCCCCCGAACTGTCCTCCCCGTGGGGCAGAGTGGGTTTTATGACTTACCCATGCTCCACGCTGAGCAGTTTCAAGGAGCCGTCCCCTCTAAGACGTGGGTGCCAGACTGGGACATTTCTCCCACCAATTACCTGCCTGTGCTCAGGGGGAAGGGTCCTTCAGGCCGAGGGGCCCATGGAAGAGACACTGAGAGAATGTCTGTTCCCAAGTCAGGCCGATAGCCTAGCCCAGGGGTCAGCAAACTGCGGCTCGTGAGCCACAGGCGGCTCTCTGGGTACGTTCTGTCTCAAAAGTTTGCCAACCCCTGGAAGAGCCAATCCTGCCCCTCACGACAATTTAAAAATTATTCGAGAGCCATAAAACAAATGAAATCACCATTATGTGAATAATATCCTTTAAAAATTTTATAAATGAAACTCTGATAGTTTTATTTTCATTTTCAATTTTACTTCAGAGACACATGTACGTACCCAAAGAGCCGCATGTGGCTCGCGAGCCGCAGTTTGTTGATCCCTGGCAGCTGTTCCGTCTCGAAAGTTTGCCGACCCCTGGCCTAGGCCTAAGCCTTCTTCTTGTTTCTCCCTCTTTGCCACCCTGTCTCCTCCACCTTGATGCACAGCCTGCTGTGCACGTGCACGGACGGTGGTGAGCTGTTGGCGGACGGGGTGTGATGCTCTAGGAGCAAAGGCTGCTGTGTGCTGAGGACCATGCACGAGGCTGGGTGCCCCTGGGAAGGGACTTGTTTTCTCTGAGCCTCCGTTTCCTTATCTGTAAAATGGGGTCACGGTCACTTCTCATCATGTGGATGTGCTGGGGGCCTGGAGCTCAGCAGGCACGTGGGCACCCCTGAGCCCTCGAGGGCAGGCTCTGTGCCGTCATCCTTGCATGTCCCTGCCACCCCCTGGCGATTGGTGAGGGGACTAAGGACCACCCAGGGAATGTGTGTGGCCCTCAGCAGTCATCGACACCCTCCCTCTGCCCACCTGTGCCCCGTGCTGGGTCCTCATGGGCATTTCCAAAGGCCCACTCTGTCCACACTCACTCCCATCCTGTCCTTTCAGAAGGAAAGCAGTGGGCAGTAGGTGGGCCTGGGGACAGCTTCGGCCCTGGCGCTAACTCTGGTGTCCTCTGCAGGTCCACAACGTGTCCTTTGCTTTTGAGCTGATGCTGGACGGAGGGCTCAAGAAGCCCAAGGCTCGGCCCGAAGGTAAAGCCCCACCCGGGTGCCCTTGGGGAGAGAGGGGACACTGCAGGGAAGTCAGACCTGGTCTTCGAGGTGGCTGGAAGGCCAGGCCTGCCTCTCCCGAGAGTGGGTGGCTTGCAGGCCGGGCGCTGCCGCCCTCCAGCTCCCCGCCCTCCAGCTCCCTGCCCTCCCCATATTCCTGGCTTTGGGGACCAAGACGACTGTGCTCACAGAGTCATGAATGCTGGTTCTTTAAGGATCCACTTGACTTGGAGGCTGTGGCCTCTGCCCACAGGCCTCAGGATTTAATTGCCTCTCCAGGCGCCTTGAGCTGGGGATGCTGTTTCATGCTTGAAAGGCTATGAAAGGCTTACTGCAGGTTAATGACTGTCGGGTTGGTGTCCCTCACGGCCAGCCCAGGGCGATGCTCGTGAGCTGTGAGCGCACATTTGTCCGCGAGGGGCCGGGTGAGAGCCCACCTCGCTGTCCCTCCCTTGCCGCTGCTGCAGGACCCTAACTGGAGGGAGCATCTAATTCCCGGAGGGCTTCTTAAAGAACAAATTCTGATCCTGGGGCTGCGGGATAGTCCCAGCAAGTCCCATTTCTAACAAGTTTCCAGGTGACACACATGGTCCTGGTCCGGTAACCCCACTTTGAGAATCACCACCCTACAGCGGCAGCATGAATTCTGGGCGGGAGGTCTTCACTACCCCCCCACACGCCCACCCCGGAGGCTCACCAGCCACCATTCAAGGGACAGGAATTCCATCCTGTGACCCATGAGCCCCAGCCCTCCCTAAGCCACCTGCCTGAGGTCACAGGGTATGTGAGGATAAGAACCAGGTGCCCGACTCCCAGGAGGACAGGTCCCCTTCCCACCAAAGCAGGTGTCCCAGACTAACTGGGCCCCAGGGGAAACTGACACCCAAAAGTGTCCCGCGGCAGGCCACACCATGTGTCCCACCTTGAGGGATGGGACAGCATCTGCCACCCTGCCCTGTCCCGGGCGACCTGGTCTTGTTGCAGGCCCCCGGTCCTGGCATAGGTTGGCCTGTGGGTGTTTGGTCCCCAGTAAATGTCCTCAGCTGTTGGAAACCCCACACCACTGCGACGCTGTCGGCCCTTAGACTTGTCCTGATGCAAATCCTAGAGTGGATGAAGGGGTGCCCTGTCCTGGCCGCCCCACACGCTCATCCCGCTGGTGATTGCCCGGGGATGGCACTGCCCAGAGCATCCTGGGTGTCTCCACACAACAGTTCTCTGCTGGGGACACAGGCCTGTCCCACGTGACCCCCAAGTGCTGGCACCAGGGCTTCAGGTGATCTCTCGTCCCCACCAATGGTTTCTCTGTTTTCTTCTGCAGATGTGGTGAACCTGGACCTCAAGTCCACCCTGAGGGTTCTTTACAACCTATTCACCAAGTACAAGGACATGGAGTGACGGCGGGGCAGCAGAGACCACGGTGGGAACGTCCCCCGTGCCCCGCCTTCCAGAGAGGCAGGCACTGGGCGTCCCCTCCAAGCCCCCACCTTTTCCTGGTTGTCGCTCTCCACCTCCTTTCTGTGTAATTTGAAATGCAGGGTTCTAAACACCAGTTCTTGTGTCTGAGGCCTCCTCACCTGGGGTTCCACCGGTGCGAAGTGAGTGGTTATCAGCTGGATCAAAAAATGAAAAAGAGAAAGCCCATGGGAGGGGCGCCCCGCGTTCCATTTGGTGGCACGATTAGCCGTCGCAGGCGATGAGAAAGGCACTGTCAGCTTGACTGTTCTGGGAGAATCCCTTGGGATGGCTCTGCTTGGAAGCGAAGCCTTTTTAGTCAAAAGTGTTTTGCAGTTTTAATAAGTCCCAGAGGCTTTCGCTGTGACAGGAATGTCGGCCGCGCGTTCCTGCTCCTTGGCCGCTCTGTTGTTTTCATGTGGTTTTTGCATAAACATCTAAGACCCAGATGACCTGGCTGCCACAGCCCACAGAGGGAAGGATTTGCTGAAGGCATTTCTTTATTTCTTGCTACCCTGTGGGCTGGGTCAGAGCTGGCTCTAAAACGCAGCTTGAGACGACCCCTCCGGCAGTTTCCCATCTCAGGGCCCCTGTTTGGGAATGGACGCATTTTTTAAAAACTTAAAAAGCAGTGTGTATTCGTTTGCTCAGGCTGCCTTAACAAAGCACCCCTGACTAGAGGGCTTAGACAACAGAAATGTATCCTCTCACAGCTCTGGAGGCTGGAAGTTCTAGATCAAGGTGTCAGCAGGGCCAGTTCCTCCTGAGGCCACCATCCATGTGTCCCCCTCACACGGTCATCCCCACGGTGTGTGCCTGTGTCCTCATCTCTTCTTCTTACAAGGACACTGGTCCTATTGGGGTAGGGCCTATCCCACTGACCTCATGTAACCTTAATCACCTCTTTAAAGACCCCATCTCTAAATAGTCGTGTTCTGAGGTCCTGGGGGTTTGGGCTTTAACATGTGGATTCTAGGGATGGGGGGCATGCAGCCCATAATGGGGAGATGAGGTGTTTATCTCACGCCTCCCAGAGCCTTGGCTTCCAGGGCCCCGTTGGCATCTCTGCTTGGGGTGCCTGTAAAAGGAAATGTTGATCACTTATTTACATGCTGCTCACTCTCTGCTCACCTTGGCTCAGGAGAGAAATGGGTCTCAGGTGGTTCCTGCACGGTGCCCCCCAAACCCCCTTCCCCAGCTCCCAGCTGGGGCTTTTAACATGCTGACACCCTGGGAGGCCCCCTGCCAATCAGCCTGCTTTGGGCCCTTCCCATCTCTTTGATTTTTGTCTTCCCGCCATAGATCAGAGCTGTTGAGTAACTTGTTCCTATCAAATTGAATGCGAATGCTCACGATTTAGAAAAGAGTTTAATATTCTGTCTCTGCTTTGGCTGCTTCCAGGCTGGGGATGGGTTCAGAATAGCCATTTTGATGGAGGTGTTCTCCCAGCGGGGGAAAGAAGTAATTAAAATGGCATTAATGTTGTCTCCTGCGGGACGAGTGACGTTAAAGAACAGCATTGACACAGTGACTGAGGGCGGGATGTTCTGTCCCACTTCATTTACTCACATGGAGTCACAGCACCTGGGGCCAGTGGGCCCACCCGGTGGGCTGGTTCACAGGTGGGCTTGGCGAGGGTGTCACCGATTTCTGGGGGCTGCGGCGGGGGATGAAGGAGGCAAGGCCGGGATTTGGAAAGAACGCAACCTCGGGGGTTTCAGCCCAAGGGGCCTCTGCCCATTCCATGCCATGAAGGGGAGGAAATGGGGGGCTCAGCTTCCCAGGGCAGCGAGCCCACTTAAGCCCTCCGTGTTTCAAGTGGGAGAGAGCAAGGAGCAGGAAGACGTGGGGAAGCCGTCCACGGCAGGGTTGCCTCACGCTGCTGACTGCTTGAGGCCATGGCTCCGGCAGAGGATGTTCTCTTTTATCCAAATTATTTTTTTTCAAGTTGGTTCGAAGGCGTGGGTGTGCCTTCCGCATACCATCGAAGGATGCCCCCCTGCTCTGTCCGCATCTCATTTTTTCTCCTTCACTGCCCAGTGTGGATCAGAATTCAAACGTGGCCTGGATGGATGTGTCAGGGGCCAGTTCCGAGGCAGAAGTTGGGTGACCTCTGCTGTGGGGAATGTCTTCCTGGGTGATTAGCCCAGTGTCCCTATTGGCTTGGGGACAATAGTTGTCTGGGCATGAGTTCCAGGGTTAGGGATGCTGGAGTGTCTTCTTGGGGTAGCTTGGGTTGCAGAAAAAACCCTTAATTCCAGAAAGTTCTGAACCCTTTCTCATCGGCTGACCCAAATTTCCAGTGAATTGTTTTCTCTGAAGATGGACCCTCACCCACAGGAACTGAGCGGAAGCAAGAACAAGCTCTGTAAGCCGAGTGTGAAATATTTCTCTACTTTTATCGTTTCTGGGCGTGTCACTGCCCCCCCTCCCAATGGCCTGGGGGCACCTTGTTTCCTCTTTAACAGCCACACATCACATGCATGCACCAGCCCGGCACCCATGTGTGCTGAGGTCCTGATGGGGTGTGACAAAGAGCTACATCGTTTTAAAGCGGCTGAGTCCTCTTCACCCCTTTTGTGTGCTAGTATTTTATTGTCTTTTTAACTGTTTTAAGCAATGTTTACTTTGGGTATTAAATAAAAGCCTCTCTAACCCTGGCCCACCCGGGAAGCGGACCCTTGGGCCCGCACGCTGCGCTGCAGGCCAACGCGTCCTAAGCCAAGCGCTCAAGTTAGCAAAATACCATGTGGTGTGAACAGCGTGCTGTTATTTATTGCAATAAAGAACTCATGAGCACGGGGCTGTCTGCTGCCTCTGTTTGGCTGTGATTTTTCCTTTCGTGTATTTGGCGGCCATTGATGATGGCAGCTTAGGACTCCGTGCTGGGCCACTTGCTTCCAGCACAGCCCTGCTCCCCAGAGCTGCCGCTCAGACAAGGAAGCGGACAGGAGCCAGCTCACTGCCCTGTGTGGGGCCGGGGCCCCCAGGGGCTGAGGGTTTCACGGCAGGAGCCAGCGGGAACAGAGGCTGGCACAGTCACAGCCGTGGATGAGTGATAATGAAGACCAGATCAGACCGGGGCAGTCAGTTCATTCGCCTGGTTCCAAACCAGAACGGGAGCCACCAGTGGGCAGCGGGCGGGTACAGACCCTGTAAAAGTGCTGCTACAGGGAGACTGACTCCTTGCGCTTTGGGACAAGGGACACCTAGGTGACCCACGATGGTGGCCACATCATGCTGCACGCTGGTACTGCTGTAGACCTTCCCTCCAGACGTCATGGGAGGTTTCAGGT